GGCAATTGATGAAGTTGCTAGTTGGTTGCAAAACGTGAATCTGTCACCTCACTGCAAGGAAACACAGAGGGTATTTAAAGTGGGTTTGTCTTAATGACAGGTTAAAGAGATAAAAATAGGATTCACAAACCACACACACACACACACACACACACACATATTATCAAAATCTACTGTTGCATTCAGTGAGTACTGAGTTATTTCCAAGCCTCAGTGGAATAGCTTCCCTGTTTAAATTCAGTGGGGTGAGCAGAATCCATCCAGTTCTGAGGTAAAAGATGAGGGTTCTCTGCCATTGGTTAATTGATGGGGTACATTTTTAGCATTCACGGCCAAACAAGGGCAAAGCTCACTGGCTCTTTTTACAACCGAGAGTGTGAGTTATTTTTGGGGACGGTTCATACCACGCTGTGGCCATCTTTGCTACAAGGACACACTGTGGCTTTTCATGAGCATTGAAAAGTTAGGAGCCTTCTTCAAAGAAATCCCTGATGCATTAACGAGCATCAGAATTACAATAGTCTTTTTTGTCTTGTGGCAACAATCATGAGATGATTGAAAGTTTTTGGTATGGACATATTAGAGAAGGTGTCAAGTTACTGAAGTTTATATTTGTCTGGAGTCATCTTTTATATATGTTTATTTCTTTTAATTTTTAATATTTTTTTGTACTTCTCTTTTTCTCTTTATCTTTTTTATACTTTTCTTAGTTTGTGTTTGTCTTTCATCTTTGTATTTGTAAACTCAAATAATTATTATAAAAAAGAATATTATTAATCAAATTTATATGGCTGCCCATTGCATAGAAAATGACACCATATATACAACATTCCAATAAAATGATAAATATAAGACAATTGTTACATAAAACCATTATAAATATTCTTTTAAAAAATGTTTATTAATCAAATTTGGTATGCACTTAAACTACTTTGTGTAAATGAAGAATTTGACATAACTTCTTTAAAAGTTTTGTCTGCTCCGATAGGTTTGCATTTGCAACTTATTTCTCAGTCTCTTTCATTTTGTTGTCTCTAGGATCACTTTGTCCAGCTGAGTGACTTTAGGACAGTCGCGTGCTCTCTCAATTTATTCCATTATTAAAATATTCATAGGCTTAAGAATCTTTTTCTAAGAACGTTGTAATATGCTTTCCTATAACTTGAATCAATTATTCTGCACGAAAAAACTTATAAATGGCATCCTTTCAATTATTCTCTAGAACCAAAGATGTTTCCTTTTATGTTGATCTCGACTACAGATTAAACTAAGGAGATAAATATATCCTGATTTGTTTTCTCTTTCTCCTTTTCCTATTCATTCATCTGTCCACACACACACACACACACACAAACCCTGAATTGATGGGTGCTGATTTTGTAATTGCTTATGTTTGACTGGATCAACAGGTATAACTTAAAACATTTATTTATAAAACATTTATATAACTGTCCATCTTCTAAGCAACTCTGGGCAGCTCCCAATCAAATGTTAAAACAAAGAGAAAATCATATAAAACTATAAAACTAAACAGATTAAAATATTAAAAACAACAAAGACCTAGCGTCAAGTCAAATTTCTAATGTGGAACTATCCAATCTTATCCCAGTGCTTGGGGGGGGAAAGCTAGGTTTTAAAGTTTACAGATGGCTGTAGGTCTGCCCAACTTAGATAGTAATGTCTAAAGGAAGGGTCTAGGAGCTTGCCCACCCTATCTGATCTGGTAGGGTAGGTAGATGCCCTTAGGGAAAGTTGGTCCTGTGCCATTTAGGGCTTTAAAGGTGATGACTAGCACCTTGTATTACACCAAGAATGAAACTCAAAGCCAGTGCAGCTCCATAACAAAGGTGCTATGTGGGCAAACCCATTACCGTGCACACTGCTGCATTTTGGGCCAGTTGACATTTGGAGGTGCCTGGATTTGACAATTACCTTCTTTGCAGGCTTTTTTACCCCTGAACCCCTCCATAGGCACAAAATATGGAGTAAAACTATCCTTCCAGGCTTATTGTATCATTTTTTTGGGGGGGGGGAGGAAATGAACTATTTTAACTGGTAAAAAACTAAGCATAACACCGCTGAGCAAAAAAACTACATTGCAAGGTAGGTAGGTTATTTCATCGTTTTCAGAGTTGAGGCAGAAAGCTTGCATTTTGGACTTAGCATTAAGCCTACCGGATCTGGCCTACAATTTTGGAATGACTATTCATAACCTATAAATTGGAATAACCTATAATTATTTCGAAGAACCCCAAAGACACAAAATCTTGCTGGCACCTAGTTGGTTCGCCCTAGCTGGCAAAGTTGCACTAAGTTCTCCGTTGGTTTGTCTTAGTCCTGTTCCCTATTTCCCTCCCTCTTCGGAAATTTCCTCCAGTTGGGAACTCCCCCCCCCCCCCCTCCGCCGCAATCATCTGCCAAGAAAAACGCGCTTGACAAAACGCCGCACAAACTCCCTGCCACTTGACCTCTCTCTCTCTCTGGGCGCCAGGCTTCGAGCCACGTGCGCCGCAAAACCAGAGCTAAGCTGCGCGCGCAGGTGGCCGCATTCTGTCCCGTCGGAGCCGGTAGCTCCGCCCTCTGCCTGCCTGCGCTCTTTTTTTGCTACTGTAGATCGCTTTGGGTTTTATTTTATGTCCGAAACCGGGAATGGGTTTCTTCGGCCGGGACACGTCTCCCGGGACGTTGGAGAAGCATTTAACGCTGGAGAAGGCGGCTCTCCATCAAAGGGCTCCTGAGCTGCCGCCTAATTCTTAATTCTTCAGATATAAGCCTTGCTACCTTTAGTGGGACTCACTTAACTGTGGAGTAAGGTTCAACGCCCGACCTTCGCAGCCAACTTTTCCTCCCAAGAGAGTTCTTGGGCACTTACGGTGGCATTTACGTTTGATCGTCTTTTCTCTCCCTGGAAATGGCGATGCAGTAAATGGGAAGAGGGACCAAGCAGGGGCTGGGGCAGCGAGTATCGTCGTGTGCGGCGGGGACAGGGGGGAGGGGGATCGCTCTCATTAGCTAGGACGTTTCTCATACCTCCCTCCGAAAGGGAAAAAGGGGTCAGGAAGGGAGAAATTGAATGAAATGAGAGGGGGAGGGGGTTTTATTCTGCCCATTTGGTCGTTTGCACCCACTAGATCATCTCAGCCATCGGGGTGTGAGGTAGTCAAAAAGAGCCTTGGTAGTACAGTGGTCTAAGGCAACCTGTTATTAAGCTGGTTATTAAGCCCAGCTGCCTGCAATTACTGCAGGTTCGAATCTCGCCAAGGCTCAAGGTTGACTCAGCCTTCCATCCTTTCTAAGGTAGGTAAAGTGAGGACCCAGTTTGTGGGGGCAATAAACTGACTTTGTATAAATATACAAAAGGATGAAGGCTATTGCTTAGCGTATTGTAAGCCGCCCTGAGTCTCCGGAGAAGGGCGGCATATAAATCAAATAAAAAAAAAAAAAAAACCTCAGGCCACCTTCCCAAGCCATTTTCCCCAGCGTTCATTCAGAGTTGAGCTGGGTCATTAATGCTCTGTTGCAACCGTCCCCTTTTCGTTCCCGTTAAGCGGCGGAGAGGGTGAAAAAAAAAAACAAAACAACGGGAAAATACTTGGGAGATTTCTTGGGCCAAGCTGTGGAAAACGATTCGCGGGCTGAGGATTTAAACGGGACATCCGTCTTAAAAGTGGCCGGGTATAACTAGTGCGCCAGGGAAGCAGTGATGCTGAAGCATCTTGAGAGGGGGAAGAAAAGGGGATGCGACGGACGGGTTCTTGGGAAAAGAAAGCAACAGGTGAGGAGGGCAAAGCGCTCTCCGCCCGGATCTGACTGATGCTGCGCGTGTATTGTATAGGCAAGCTTGCTTTAAGAATCCGGATAAAGTAAAGTAGTCGGTCTTAATTCCCGATTTGTAGAAAAATCGGATGCAAGGAAAGTGGGAGACTGGAGCAATGGAAGTCAGGCCGACCCCCGGGAATTTTTGCCTTCTACCTCCAATTGAGCAGCTGCGCTCCCAGCCAGATTCCCAGCTCGAGGGCTCCGCGCGCTCTTTCTCCCGAAGTTGCTCCTTGGAGAGCGAGAGATGGACGGGGCTGATGATGGAGATTCGTAGGAGGTCTGCCCAGCCGCCCGAAGCGGGAGGGGGAGATGGTACGAGTGTGCATGTATAGAGCTGGGGCTGGAGAGGGAAGAGGGCCACAGACCCCTCCCTCTCGTCTGGTTGCCACCCGTTTTGGCTGCAGGAGTTGGACTTGAGAAGATCGATCAGGAGGAGGGGTCTCTAACTTGGGGACAAGGCTGAAAGCTCAGGTTACAGCTCAGCTGGGGGCCAGGGGAGGACTGAGACCTGGGCATATACACGGGCTGCTAGAAGGCAGAGGGGAGCATCAGCCGCGGTGCTTCAGCCCAGACCCCTCGGCATTAGCCGGGTTTCTCCTGGGCCTTTTGCTACTTTGGATTCTCTTGCTGTTTTTTTTTTTTTAAAGACCGCGGAGGATCAACTGCATGAAGGCTCGGTAGCCACTGGGGAAACTACCACCACTTACTATCATCACCTCCTCCTCCTCCTCCTTTCTCATCCACACAAAGGTCCTGCTGCATGTCTAACATTTAGACATGTTCAGCTTTCTGGATTCAAGGACTCTAGTGCTCCTGGCAGCTACTCAAGTAATTTTATTAGCAGTTGTCAATTGTCAGAATGAGGATATACGTAAGTTACACCTTTCTTTCTCTTTTTCTTGTCCAGAAAGCAGGGGGAAAGCAAAGTTGATGGGGAACAATAAATTAGGAGAGGGGGTGGGAAAAAATCAGGAGAACAAGCAAACTTCTTTTTTTTAAAAAATATCACTTGTGGGTTTGTACAATTCATCTTCCTCCTTTGAGTTAATCTCCCTCCATCTCGTTCTTGCACTTGGTTTCTCTTCTTTCGGCTCCTCAAATTCTTTCCTGCTGCAGAGAGATGCTGTTCCACATCCTCATAATTAGTCTGAAATCCCAATCTGTTCTTTGTAATGCTTGGTTACTCAAAAACAAGAGCTGCACTTGGCACAATCTAATTCAACTGCTGTACCATTTCTTCTCTGGGCCTTCCAAACAGTGGGGTGAGCTGGGGATAAGGTATTATTATTATTATTATTATTATTATTATTATTATTATTATTATTATCATCATCATCATCATCATCATCATCATCATCATCAGTGTTTAAAGTGTTATACGCCTTTGTCTAAAGATCTCCAGAAAACAGTATGGTAAAAAGTCATATTCTCAACTCACAGAGGATAAATGACCCCTCCAACCTCTTGTTGGTGGAATGAAAGGGTTAACTGAATGATTTGTATAGGGGCTCATTGAGGGGGGGGATCCAGACAAAAGAGAACATACCAGGAAGATTTGAGGAGGGGAGGAATCACAAAGATCTTTATCCATAAGATCTAGTATCTCTCCCCTAGTTCAGTTAGGGACGTGGAGTAAGGTGCAGATGGAGTTCCTGGGGAATTTGATAGCTAACAGATTTTTTTTTTGGTAGCTGAAGGAGCAGAAGGAAAAATTTCCCCAACTCAAAAGAGGCCACCTGAGGGGTACAAAACATTCCAGAAGCACATCAGTCCATTTATTCTACTCTCACTCTTCACCCCCCCTCCCCCCACACACTTAGAGGCATGGGAATCCTTCCTGTGTATTAGGGAATTGTGTATAACCATCCCCATCCCCCTTCTTCTCCCCAAAGCTTTTATCAACTTTCCCTCCCAATCATTACAAAATTAGAGCCAAATTCTCCCTTTTCTGCTGCTGACTAAGAGAGTCTTTGTTGTTCGCAGTATTTTATTCAAGAGTGGGAAACTTGAATAGATAGAAACAATTCCTCCCTTCCTATATTTTGAGCAGGTTTTCTTTTGTTTGGATGCCATCCTTTCCTCTGTAATGCTCCAGATTGTAAATCAATTGCAGGGATTATATCATGGAAGTGGGGTGGAATTTCCTTTTTTTTTTTTTTTTTGCTCCTAATCTCAGGCCTTGCTTTCTCCCAGTGCAAAATTCCAAAGAAAGAGTCTAATTCTTTTTACTATTAATATGCTATAATCTCTGCAGTTGGGTCTTCTGAGTTGGTAAGAGAAAGAAAGAGCCTTGCACTGGTTTGCCTCAGGGTGGTTCAAGAAAGGGAACTGACATAGGTTCCTAGCCCTGCTGATCAAAAGGTATTGAGTTAGTTAGTCTATTCTTTGTTTCTAACAACCATAACAAGCTAGGAAAATACAGGAGGGCTACTACCAGTGGAAAAGAGTAGCAGAACTGTGTTAGTTTATGGTGACCAAAAAAACAAACAAACAAACACCAGGAGTCAGGGGTTGCACTTTTTCTGACTAACACACTTTTTTAAGTGGCACAAGCTTTCAGTGAACTAAGCAAGGGAAATTGCACACTGAAAGTAGCTTGGAAACACTCTGAATCTTGGGAGACGATTTGTAATTCCCAATCACAATCAGGTGTTCTTTCTCGAATTAGTCAGCTGGTCTGCAGTGTGGTAAGTGTAGTAAGTTTAGCATCTTTTCTCACATCTTTTGCCATGATTAAAGCACCATGGCTTGGAGATTGAGAAACATGCAGGAGAAGCGAAATGTTCATCGGCAAATACCATTTAATTGTTTTTTTGTTTTTGTTTTTTTAAAAAAAACATATTTTCATATTCTCATGAAGGGGAAAGTTTTTAATCCAGGTGCTTATTTGGAGAGTATCATTTTTCTCTTTTATACACTGATTTCCCCCCCCCCCAAAGTGTTCTCCCAGGTTAGGGTATAAACTGAATCCTTGCTCTATGCAGGTTTATTTGCCTTGAGCAGCAATAGCTTCCAGATGCTGAAAGGCTGCCCATGTTTATTTAAAGTAGTCCCTACTGGAGCAATGTGAATTGCACTCTGTGTGTATTTGAGAAAAGGTCCATTCATGAGTGGAGGGTCCCTTGGGCTCCAACTGGCTCTGCTGACTTGTGCACAATGGCCCCCCTGTCATATCGTTGCTGCTGTCAGGCCTTTGCTAAGAAGTTAAAGAAAAGGGGAGGAGGGGAGGGGATGCAAGTGCAAATGAGGTGCATTTTTAATGTACTTTTTTCTGATCTCTTCCCTATAAAGTACAACTTCTGTCTCACTTAGCTAAGGGGTGGGGGTATCAGAGAGAGAGAGAACGAGAGTTAATCTGATGTTTAAATTAGAGTACCAAAGTCTTCCTCTGCCTTCTGGTTTGAACTCTCCCACCACTCTCCATCTGCCATATCCTTCACCGATCTGACATTAGTTTGGTCTTCTGTTGCCTAATAAACACCCCCCCCCCAAAAAAACTGGATTTTTAATTAGAAAAACACGTTTTACTCTTCCTTGGAGTTATCAAGAATTAACTCAGGTCACTACTGTTTTCTTAGATGCAGGTTCAAAGGGACTGGAGCAAATTGGGTGGCCTCTAATATGCTCACTTCCCCATTATAGCCAAGAATTAGTGTCAGGGGTTGCAAGGTGAATTAGTTATGTGGCCCAATATAACTGTTCTAAATCCTAAACCTCTTCCACCAGAAATGCTGTTCATCAGTTCAGCCAAGTGACTCATCAAACTACCATGAAATGAAACTATGCTTGATTATAAGAGATAGTTTGCTAAACGACAAGGTCTGCTGAGTGAGGACTGAGGGAACTCTAGATCAGTAGTAGAGAGAGAGGGGAGCAACTACTATAACTGGGCTAAGACTTAGAATAAACATAATTTATACACCCGTGATTAGGTCTTAAACTTGCTGGGTATTTTTTATGAAGTTGGTATCAACTGTATCCAAGAGATAATATATAGCAAGCAAAATAAGTTTGATGTGGCAGGAAGTATTAAAGATAATGCAGGAACAATCTTGGGCAAGCAATCACTGCTTTAGCGGTTACCCTGGAAGTAACTCTAGCGGTTACCCTAGAGTACCTTGGAAGTACTCTAGCAATATCTTATAGGAATCTATTACCCTAATTACCTTATAACTATCACTGGGTAATACATACTGTTGCATACAAATAGGCATTATCCTGCAGCCGAGGTAACTAATGCCCTAGCCTTTATCTCGCTAATATCTACTACCGGTACCCTAGTTATTACTTTGCAAGTAATTATTATCTTGGCTCTTACCTTGCAGGTAGCTATTACCCAAGCCATTACTTCACAAGTAAGCATTGTCTTGCCTCATGGGTGGCTACAGCATCCTATCACACCTCACATAACTGATAGTGAGGATAAATGAAAAATGTGATGTGCTAAGTGTCTTGAGCCCACACACCTGGTAGGAAGGAACCCTAAAATATACTATATTTATTCAGCACTGCTAAGATCACAACTGGTGTCCTAGCTAGGATTTCGAGTAATACAATTCCAGAAGGGGTTTTCAGAGGAAGACAAAAATGATGATACAAGTATTTGTAAAACATTTCCTAAGAAGATATGCCGAAGGACCTTGGGATGTTCAGGCTGGAGAAACGAAAACTGAGGAGAGACACGCTAACCATGTTCAGGTACATAAAGGGAAGCTAAGGGAAAGTGATCAAGACTGTTTTCCACAGCTATGGAAACTAGAACCACAAATAATAGCCTATAAATAAACAAAATGCTGCTACCTAGATTTGTCTTAAATATTTTCTGACAGTAAAATGTTTGTATCAGTGGAACAGTTTACCTGAGGGTTCTGGATTCTCCATCTCTGGATTTTTTTAAAAGGCTGGAGAGCTACCTATCATGGATGGTTTAAATTGTTTTTCCTGCACATTGCTGACAATTGGACAGATGATCCTCGTGATCCGTTCAGGTCTACACACTCTTATGATTCTTTAATAATCCCTCCACTGGAATGTGATTTTTGGAATTTACATAGACTCCCAAGCCATGAGTGTTATCATCATTGTCGTGAGGAACCCTGAGATAAATTTATGGATACTATTTATGTGGAGGTGGGGGGTGGGATTGGGAGCAGCTAACCGAAGGCCTTCATCCTCTATTTGTGAAGAGCAAAATGCCCTCATAACCTGTGGGAAGTTGATGAGATGTTCTTGAAGGGGGCCGGTTGGGAATAATGGAGGCCAATGTTGGATCACTGGGACAAATGCTGCTATTTCTTTCGCTCTTGGTTTCTGCTGCATTTGTCTCTTAACCTGCTTTCTCCTTTCCCTTTCCTTCTGGCACAGAGGAGGCAGGCAGCTGTGTACAGGATGGGCAGAGATATAGTGATAAAGATGTGTGGAAACCCGAACCGTGCCAGATCTGTGTTTGTGACACTGGCACTGTCCTCTGCGACGATATTCTCTGCGAAGAAATGAGAGACTGTCCCAGGCCTGAGATACCCTTCGGAGAATGTTGCCCTATATGTCCAACTGATCAGCCCACCGCCAGTGGTTGTAATTTATTTATTTCTATTTCATATAAATAAATTACTTGAGAGATGATAGCACCGAAATAGAAAGATGAATAAGAGCCATGGATGTGACTCTCAGATGTTTTTGCATCCATGAAAGGCAATGGCTGCAAAAGGCTACTTCTCACAATTCCTCAAACTGTGTTTATGATGTAGAAGAGGTGAATTAATTGAACCATGAACGTATGACAGAAGAAGATGGGCAGCGTTGTTGATCAACTATTAACTTGTCTAAGGCAGCCGACACATTTATTAACAGTGCAGGCATTTTAGTGCTAGAAACATATCTAGAAATTTCAAAAGTTTTCCTCAGCAAGTAGAAGAATGGTTTTAACAACCATTGCACCAACTTTTTCTTTTGCATTTACTGTTGCTTTAAAACATTGAGGAAGTGGGAAGAAGCTTCATAATGCTAAATATGTCTCCCACTACACAATATTGAACTGTGATTTCTGTGTCAGAATTTATAGGGTGACCTAGACAATAGGAGGGTTTTTTTAAATAGTCCTACAGAAATGGAAAAGACTAATCAGGTATTGTTATCTGGTATTATCAGATGGCAAAATCTCTTCCATGGGATTTTTGAAGGACAGGGAATCTCATTCTCAATATCTAAATTTAATGATGTGCAGAAATCACATCTTGTGGCTACCATTAAAAAAAGTGATGCTGATGCTAAATGCATATCTATATAGTGCTTTATTAAAATACAATATTTTATTAATGTAATATTGTTCAATAAAAGGAGTATATGAGCAGCTAATCTGTACATCCTATTAATGCCAATGTGTATTTGGCACACATTTTCTAAACAGTACCCATTGCCTTATGCTTTAACAGCTTTCACTTAGTATGCCAATCAAATTTCTGTAAAAAAAATGATAAGGGCCAAGTATGGCCAAAATTATAAGAGCCAAGTGTCTTTCAGCTTTCCCTCTTTGATCAGCATTCCTACTGAAGGTTAGTGTTGTTTGGAAGGATGTAAAATGCTCAAGTAATTTTGGAGTTACTGAGCACATCAACAAAGAGATAGAAGTAGATAGCAATTCTCCTTTTGGTAAAATGTGTTTATGATCACAGCAAAAAACATGTATGGTTCAACCTCAAGAAATCTATGAGGGTAAGCTAAAAAAAGTCAAGATACTAGTTTTGATTGGATGATCACAGCTGCCATTTTTTACTTTTTGCACTCAACACACACACACACACACCTGCCTAGCAGATAGCTCTGGCTCCTCCCATATGTTTTATCTCTTTGGAGCCTTAAAGTCTCTTAAGGAATTCCTGGTTCATTAATTGAGGGGTGGGGGAGAGTCCTCAAGCATCAAGAGGTCAACCTTTCCCCTTGTGTGAACTTTACAAGAATGACTTAACTTTCATACCTCAAGTTTAGGAGATGATTTATTAGGCTCCCTGCTTCACCTTGTGCTGCCTTGGGGCCCTGTTTTCCAAGCAATGTCAGGAAAACACCCACCATTTTTCAGTTTCAAAAATAGCAGGGTTTTTTTAAAAAGTCTTAACAGTAGATGAGGAATTGTAACTAGAAGTGGCCTTTTTTAACCCTTTTCCTTCTTCTGGCTGTCTGAGGCTCCTTTAATTAAAAGGGAAGCATCAGAAGCAAAATAACAGGGAGACTGCCAGGAGGAGTAAAAGGGTTGAGATCTGCAAAAGTTAACCCTGTTTTTTTTTCTGTGCATTGTTTTTTGCAATTAAGCTGATTGTGGCTTTTAACCTCTGTGTTTTGCCTCATGCATCTGTTTAAAACAAAAAAAAAAAGCCTATACTTCTCCCTCAAAGCTATTGTTTGCTTATTTGATTGATTTAACCATGTTTAATGGCGGTGAATTTCACTGATTTTTAAAAAATATTTCATTGGGAAGTTGCTTGTAAACAAGTCACATTTTGGGAATCCAACTTCCTCCAATCAGTGGGATTCTCAGTTCTCTCCTTCCATCCTATGCAAATTTATTTGGAAGAAAATCCTATTGCTTTGATAAAACTGAACTGCAATTCCTGTGGGCAAAGTGGAATTAAAGTTAGCTAGCCTGCTTTAGCATGGCTTGCAATGAATTATTCAGAAGACTATTATTCTCTCTACACTCGCTTGTTTTGTTACTTTGCAACAGCCCTTACATTCCCAGTGTAAATCAAAATAAAATCCTATGCCCGTTGTATTCCTGGGACATCAGCATCTCCCACACAGCAGTGATTTGAAACAGGGCAGGCACCGAAATAAGAAAGCTCTCATGTCTGTTTCCTTGATCTAGGTACAGGTTACCCTATGTTTGTCTCCCGTGTTGTCACGTGCTTCATGAATGAACAGACTGAGGACATTTGTGAAAATTTTCATATATAATTCTATTTTCAAAACAGTTCTATTTTCTGATGTTTTCTTCTTTTCTCTCTCTCCTTCATTCTTAACAGGGCAACCTGGTCCCAAGGTGAGACAACTGAACGCTATTAATAACCAACATTGCTTGTTAGCACGCCAAGGTTTGCCAACTATGTTAGAGGCGCAACAGGGACTTGCATCATTGGTTGCTGTTCAGTTGGCAGCTTTATTAATTTAAAACATGTCATTCATATAACTTTTGTCGATCTGCTTAAAAAAGAAGTGTAGAAGTATTACTTATCACTGGGTCCCCTAAAAACTAATTTCTGCAGAATGAGATGCTATAAAAAGCACTGTTGTGGCTACACGTTCTTTGGGGTTTGACTTCAGCCTAAGGGAGAAGACAGCTCTTCAGAACCAAATGATGCAATAGATAGTTATCATGAATTATGACAGAATCTGGCTATGAACGTGAATGGCAATCTGACAGCCCCCTACTGAAATTGATGAAATAATTGCTTTGTTCCAACCAAATGAATATTTTACTGACTTTACTAAGTCTGTTCATGTTTTAGGTAAAGTTATGCATACCGTAGTTGCAAAATTGGAGGTTAGATACTCTTTAACACTTTGAAACCTACACTTCCCACAGGCTATCTATGGCTGTAGCGTTAGAAAGTTAAGAATGTAGATGCAGAGTTCAAGATGTGGGAATTGACTGGCTTGGGATGTTTGGTTTGGTTCCGCCCCCCCCCTAATTTTACATATTTTGTATCTGGCAGGGTCAAAAGGGTGAACCTGGTGATATCAAGGATGTAAGTTTCAAATTTAATGCATTCCTTCTAATTTTTCTTAAAACCTAGCTGTACAAAATATACCTTTGACTGAACTGATTTTCTGTGTGTTTTCTTCTTTCTCTTTTGGTCTAGGTTGTAGGACCGAGAGGCCCTCCTGGACCACAGGTAGTGACATCTTCTGCTATCTTGTTTACATGTATTGAAAAAGAGGTTTTTTAAAAATGGGTTGTGAATGCTCTTGTTACCTTCTGCAGGGACCTTCAGGTGAACAAGGACCAAGGGGAGAACGTGGAGAAAAAGGAGAAAAGGTAAAACCAACTATACCTGTGAAGTGTTTAATGAACTAAACAGGCTGCAAGTCTATTTATATTTACCTCAGAGTTAATTCTAAGCAAAGTAGAGTTTGCATCCAATTCAGGGTGTCTAGTGCTGTAGTTGTAGAATACCATTGTCTATGTCAAATTAGTAATTTTTTGCAGATGTAACTCATCAAACCCTCAAGGCAGGTCCACCAACATTAGATCTTAAAGTTTGTATTAAAATCATAATCATCCCAAGAAGTGTGGAAGAAGATCACTTAAGACATGATTGGGTGTAAAATGCGGGATTAATAACCTGACTGAATGACCTTCTAGACACCTCCCTTACCTGCGAAATTGTTGAATTTACTGAACCAGCCCAAGGCATTTGGCTGTGTGTAGCTGAGCCTTTCCCATACATACATCATTGCATTCAGCATCCAAGTTGAACTGACAATTGAATTCTACTTCAGTGCTCACAGTGCAATAACATTCTTTAGTGCAAACAGACTAGTTTTGGGGGCACAGGATAAGCTACCTTAGGGTTTGCAGGGAGCCTGGTATTGGGATGTTCCTTGCTCTCCAAAACTTATCACTGAAGATAATTACCTATGACTATTCTGCAATAGAACAAGACTTTCAAATTAGTAGACTTGTATGGATAGTACAGTATCTGGACAATGCCATTTTCCGCTTATATCCTTCCATTCCCAATGCTTTCTTTCTCCTCACAAAATCTATTGGTATATTTGTGTGAGAGAGACATGACAATATAGCCATCAAATGTTTTGACTGGTAAGGTAAGGACCAAGCTTCTGGAAGTATTTTTCTTTTGTAGCCTTTGCTACATAATAATATACAGTTTCAATAAAAAGTATTGAATAGTGTAGGCTAGAATTCAATTGTAGAGTAATGAAATGGGAAAATCTGTGCTCATAATTTTATTCCTCTATGAAACTTAACTGACTGAATTTGAGCCAGTTGCTATCTGTATACAGTTTTTTTGTAAAGAGTATGAAAGGCATTTTAAATCTAAGATCAAAATGTTCCCCAATATTATTAAGAATTAAGAGGCACAATCTAATGGCATGGTATCCTACCCCATGCCAATTAAAATTAGTATACTGAGCAAAATTACTAATAATATAGGCATAGGATTGACACACTAAAATTTAATTTAGTTATAAACAATAAACAACTTTTAATGCAATGGAATTCCCTTTTGCGTAGTTTTGAGTTATAAAATACTGTATAATAATAATGAGATAAACTGCATTAGAAGTAGTGGTTTTTGAAATTAAGTATAAGTGAAATGTTAACTGGACATAAGAGTGGACAGTTTGATATTCATGGAAGATCCTTCTTTCCTTCCTTCTTTCCTTCCTTCCTTCCTTCCATCCATCCATCCATCCATCCATCCATCCATCCATCCATCCATCCATCCATAGGGTGCTGCAGGTCCACGTGGCAGAGATGGTGAACCTGGTACGCCTGGCAATCCAGGGCCCGCTGGACCCCCAGGCCCCCCAGGCCTTACTGGAGTGAGTATTCTTAACTTTAAGGAAAGTTTTAGTCTCATAGCTTCTGCATATGAATGTTACACAAGTCATGTAAATAGCTCTTTCACTGGGTCACCTCTTGAGAATTCCTAATGGAGAAGTCTTAATTCAGAATAACATGTGTAATGTGTTGCCTACATTTCAAATACCCAAAACAGCAAGTAACACTCGTGATTATTTTTTAATCAACTAACAAGGCCTTTGACCCACTCCCGTTGCTTTGCTCTGTGAGTCTCTCTGCATGAAAGAATAACGTTCCCTTGTGTTGAAAAGCTCCCTGCATTGCTTGAAGGGCGGGAAAAAGCATCATCATAATCTATAATAATACAAACAAAATTCCTCGCAGCATAGCTAGTTCATCATTACTAAGTTTATTTTTCTGTGGGCCGCCACAAAGAAGCATTGGTTTTTATGGAAGAACGCATTCTTAATTTTTGCCGGGTCAACAGAGGGGCACAACAGGGAGGGCCATTGTTCTTTGTAAATCCAGAGTGTGCCCCATGACCCAGAATCCTTTGTAACACTAGAGTGTTCGATGGGCTTCCTCAGCAGGCTGACTAAAATGGGAGGAATTCCCTTCAAGAAGAAAACTTTAGAGACCAAATGCCTTTGTCAGTATAGTTTGGACCAATAGCCCAGCAGTGAATTAGATATGCCTTAACTGATTGATTTCAGTAGGCATAATTGCCTCTGTTTTTCATTGTGTTACTAAGGTCCAATTGATAATACAAATGGCCTCTCGCAACTGTGGGATCTGCTGACTTTGCTTACATTAACAGAGAAATTACAAAACATCTCTACTTAATCTACTAATTATCCTCTAGCTCCTTTATAGAGAAATATTTAAAAGAGTAATGTCTAATCCTTGAATAAGAAAGCAGAGAAAGATCTAATTGTTTTTAATTTGGGGGGAGGTTTTAGAGTGATCAGGTGAGTAATGGCTAGGGACAAAAACATTTCCACCATGGGGGTTTCTATAAAATCGTTCATTAGAATCACTCACATACTTTAATCTCCTTCGCTGTGAGTCATGGATTTTTATTTGCAATGCAAAAACATGACCAGTAATAGAAATGTTAAATAGTATTTCTGGAGAATATGTACCAAGTTCTTATTCTGTATCTGCAGTAACTATTTCAACTTTGGATATACCATATTTTTTGGAGTATAAGACACACACACACCCCAAAAGAGGGTGGAAATATTGGTGCATCTTATACACCGAATACAGCCATATTTGACCTCCTGAAACCCCACCCTGCATGTCCTGTTTTCTCCAAAAATGCCTGTTTTTGGCAAAAATGGGGTACACAGAGAGTTTGGGAGGCCTGCAGAGTGCTCCTGGGGCCTGGGGAGGGCAAAAACATTTTTTTCTTGTTTACCTCTTCGAAATCTTGGTGCGTCTTATACTCCGGTGCGTCTTATAGTCCGAAAAATACGGTACTTTATTACACCACTCATAGGGTACATTCACAAGGTCATATTCTTTTAGTCCAAATTAATATACTTTAACAACTAACTTCCACTTATCAGTAACACTGACAATTCAGCACAGAAGATGCATTGGAAAGAACAGAAAACACCCACTGTAATTGTTTCCAAGCTATTCTTTTGTATAGGATATGAATAGTTCTTAGGATAAGAACTACTCATCTTGATGTTACCTCTTAGAATGTGAAATTTAGGGTTGCTTTTCTGCTCACCCTTAAATGGTGACAAGATTTTTCCTTGAAAATATACTTAGCAAAATCCATATTTAAGTTACACTTAAATTATTCTAAGCACCTTTCTATAACTTGAGATTCATTGATTTACTTTACATTACAAACACCATGACTTCAAGAGTAGTTAAAAATCTCTTGTATTTTCTAAATAACTCTTGAAAAGTTGGGTAGTATTACTTTTATTTCTGCCACTATAGAGTTTCAATTCATATCCAATAAATGTTAAACGCTTTTGTAGTAGAATAATCAATTGCCAAATAAAATCCCCTTTTTTTCTATACCTGAAATTCTTTCCAGAAATACCTCCCGATAAAATATCTGCATGAGTTGCAGGGAGAGAGAAAAATGGTAAAAGAGAGCAAGCTTACCCAATTATTTCCCCCCTCTGTAACACGACAAAGATTGCCCATCAGATATAAAAGAAAGGCCTGTGCTTTTAAAAGACCTTCTTATATTTCATATGGTACAAGTGTTCTCCATTTAATCACGTCATATTCCGCATCTCACTGCAACTATGTTCCTTTTGTCTTTTGCAGAACTTTGCTGCTCAGATGGCTGGTGGATTTGATGAGAAAGCAGGTGGTGGGGGTGCTCAGATGGGAGTGATGCAAGGACCTATGGTAAGGATTAGGAGAGTGTGTACATTCCTTGAATATTTGCAGGACTCTACTGGTTTTATATCAACTTATGGGTCTTGGCCTAATATCCTCCAAAGAATCTAGTCACAGGGATGTCAAACTGGCGGCCCATGGGCTGGATGCATCACGTGCAGGCCACACCTACCCCAGCTCCACGAAGGGGAGAAACGTCACGGTATGTCATGTGACAGCACCGTGACGCAGCGAGTTTGACACCCATGATCTATTCTAGAGAGTTGATTTTAGTGAGACTGAGAAAGTTGAGTCATGATGATGGACAAGGCAGGTTTGGTAGGCTATAGCAACCTAATTTGACCTAGAGTTCACAACAGTTTTGCATATGCAAATGCATTTGATCCAAAACTCACATTTTATATAAAACAATTAAAAAATATTTTAATGGATATTTTGGTGTGAAATACGTTATTGGCTATCTTATATGCAAAAATAGAACAAACAAAAATAAACTTTCTAGGTGGGAAGTAATCACTTTAATAAGGTGATCTACATTGATTGCAAAATTGATTTTCAAAAATTTGATTCTCAAAATAATGACTTTTCTGCAGAAAACAGATCATGCGCTTCCTACTGGGCTTAGCCTTAGCGGTATCACTTGAGCCTGTGATTTCATTGGCCAATCATACTGAAAGGTGTGGGAGGTACTTTCTCATAAATTGGGCGTAACGTTGCCCAAAGATTTTTTTTTTCAGTCTGAGGTTCCTTAAGAGCTAAATATTTCTTATTTGGGTGGGGGGAGAGCTGGGAATCTAATCAAGCTTCATCTACCTTAAAAATGTGGCTGCAGCTTTTGAATTTCATAGTTAATTTTAGACCTGATCACCTAAAGAACCATCTTAATGGCTGTTTTGGAGATGTGGATACAGGCTTTTGAGGGTCCAAAAATAGACCCAGTCTGCTTTCTTTCTGAAAGAAATAGGTTCCTTGATGAGCCAGGAATGTTTTTCTATTATGCATTATGCATTTTGACAAACTTTAAAAAGATCAGGAAAATTGGTTGGCTATTACAGTATCAGCAATGGCTGTGTTGGTCATTTTATATTTCAAATTATTTAATTAATTATTTTAATTTTAATTTTTACAATGATACAGTGTATGCAGATTTACGAAGCAGATAGATATATTAATTTCCTTCTTTTAAGAAGACATCAAGAGTACTTTATGCTTGTTTTATTATTATTTAATCTTATTATTATCCTTTTGTTTTAAGCAAAACATTTCAGAAAAATTATAAATATAGGTAATTAATGGGGTTGTGCAATTTTTACTCAATTTGACAGTAAAGATTCCAAGCAAAGTGCATTAAATTAATTTTATGCTATCAAAAAATCATATTGTGGTATGAGCTTTAACCTTAAAATTTTACAAGATATTCTTCAGATGGCCTTAATTTGAGGAATTAGGTTATTATTTATACATATATGATTCCTCCATCTTCTCAGTCAGTTTGCTTTATAACACTGCTTGTGTTTCTTTTGAAAATAAGAAATGGCACACAAATGTCTGTCACATACTTTATCTAGATTGTATCAGCCATTAAGAAATGGTTGATTAACTTTCATGGTGCAATCTAATAAATCAAAAATGGTTTTTAATCTCTTGATTGAAAATAAGATTATACCTTCTTCCATTTATTTTTTTAAATCAAAAGGATCCTACAAATTAGCAAACATTTTAAAAAAGTCTATAGACCATGTTACTCAAAAGAGTTACACTTCTAGTTTAATAACCAGTCAACTAGCACAGGATCAGGGCAAAATTTGAGGTTTTGAAGTGATTCCATGAAAGTCATAGTAATACCAATTTTCCTAATACCCCCAATCCCAGCAAAAATTGGTCCATTGTCAGGGTGATATTCTATATTGCTTGGGAAGAATTGTATGGACATAGGATCAATTGGACCTATGGTTTGAAGAGCAAAGACAGAAGGGTGATCTCAGAATCTCCCCACAGTTCCCGTGGAAACCACTTCAGGCCTTCCATTTTCTGCCTTGGGAGCCTTCAGACAAAAGTGCCCTGTTGATTTTAAAAAAGATTTTCTTAGTTTGCATTATCAGATTACTCAAGAACCTGAGCAGATTGTTGTAATGTGGAAGTGGTTTTAGAAAATAGCTGTAGGCCTTTGTTGTTGTGTTTTTGTTTTTGTTTTTGCCAAAGTTTCTTGAGGGCAGGTGCCAAAATCTTTGAAACAGATGATTATAGATAGGGAAGTAATAGAGAGGGTTGTTTCAGGAATTCCCTCAGTATTTCCGTTGGACCAAGGGCTAAGGTTATTCAAAGACAGACAGCAGCTACTGTTCTTCAGGATCCACAAAACTTCCAGCAGGAAATTTCTGCTATCCAGCATTTCTTGGCAAGCTGTAAATGAAATTCAGTCTTTGTCAACATGGACTGTTTCCAAGACAAGCCGTATGTGTGTCCTTGTGTGAGTGTGTGTGTGTGTGTGTGTGTGTGTGTGTGCTTCTTTTTGCCTCAGCATGCAAAATAAATAAAATAAAAAAATAAAAAAAATAGTTCTGCATGATACAGAGGGAGAAAGAGAGAACTAAAGGAACCAACATTATAGCAATAGCCATGAGATTAGACCTACTCTCAATCAGGCTCAACTCTTCTCTTGTGCTTCAATTATAAAACATAACAATATTGATATAATTGTTTTTTCCTTTTTTTATTGTTATTTAGGGACCAATGGGACCACGGGGTCCTCCAGGACCATCAGGATCTCCTGTGAGTATAGAATTCGATACTTTCCTTAGATGACCTTGTATGTCCTGAAAATAATACAGTAGAAAAATAGAAAGATTGTTCTATCTTGAGATGATCACTGACAATGCTTCTACCACCATTTTTCAGGGCCCTCAAGGATTTCAAGGCAGCCCTGGAGAACCCGGAGAACCTGGTTCTGGGGTGAGTATCCAGGAAGCACGGTTGTCTTAACCAAAAGACAAAATGTGCATGATATATTCGGCAGAAAAAACTGACATATTGCTATATTTTAACTGCCATGTCTGCCTGCAGAGATTTCTCTTGAACCTTCAGCCAATAGGAGAACTGATTGAAATACCCAATCTAAGAATTCTTAAAAAGTGTGAACATCAGGAAAGATAAAAGCACTGTGCCTTCTTCAGTGTTACATATAGCACACTGAGAAAGTTGGGGATCTTGTTTAGGAGGAAAAAATGGTATCCCTGGTTGAATATGATGGTTGTGTGGTACAGGTAATCCTTGACTTAAGATCACAATTGAGTTCAAAACTTCTGTTGCCAAGCGAAACAGTTGTTAAATGTTGCCCCATTTTACAACCTTCCTTGCCACAGTTGTTAAATGTATCACTGCAATTGTTAAGTTAATAACATGATTGTTAAATGAATCTGGCTTCTCCATCGGATTTTCTTGTCAGAAGGTCACAAGCGGTGATCACATGACCTGGGACGTTGCAACTGTCATAAATATGGATCCATTAAGCGAAGGGAAGATAAGAAGTCTGCCCTTTTTAAACACAGCTCAGTAAAACCCCTTATTACCTTAAGAGTAGCACAAGGAACAATGTACACTTTCAGGAAGAAATGGTCTGCATTTAACAATTTTTCTCCTGTGTATATTTCCTCTCAGTCCTTTCCCTCAGAGCAATCTTGTCCAATGGCACTAATTTTAATCCTGGGTTCAAAAGAGAGAAATGGGAACAATAACGGAGCATAGGGTGGTCGCGTCTTGGGGAGAGAGAATTGGAGATAACCATCCCAACTTCCTAGTTTGTTACTTTGCCTCACTTTAGCAATATGAAACCAACAATTCCATTATAGAGGGTTTGGGGAGGTGGATATGCTATTTAAAGAGCAGAGGCTTATTACAGATTTATAGGACCTTAGCCCAATCAGCCAGATATTATGAGCCTTGGGATTTTTTAATCACCTTGTCTGCATTGATCTATTTGAATATTATAACCAGCATTCTTAGCCCAATTTACATTCCTTAACTTGCTCTTCCTCTATTTCCAAATCTCAACAAAAGTTTATACATTTTAGCAATTACGTGTTCATGATTTGTACAGAATTCATTTTCAGATTTATCCCATTCTGTTCCTAGTAACTTTATATTAAACCTCTCTGCATTGTGCGAATAGGAACCATTAAAACTAAAACTATATGACTCTCTTTATATGTTAACCATTTTGTCTTTGGTTAGAGAGAAAGAACCATGTTTCATGAGCTGAGGCCAACAAAAGTATTTTGGGTATAATCTGGGTTTGTACCTGTACTATATTTGTAGTATGGAATTCACAATATGATTTTTAAAAATCTACATGTACTTTCTTTGTCATGCCATAACTAATCATGCCACCCAAGCTTCAGACAATGATCTGCCACGTTTAAAAATCTTTTATTTCTTAACAAAAGCCATTCCTGCATCTAAAACAAACATCAGGCAGCAAAATACAGTTTAAAATCAAGTAATCCCAGTCCTTCTCTTTTGTTTCTATCTTGGAGAATCTCTCATTTAATCCTTGTTTTTTCCCCCCTGCCATATAAATCTGGATATGTCTTTTTGTCCCTGTTTAAATGATGCATCAATTTTCAAAACAGGCATTGTCTGAAACAAGAAGAACATTCTAGATAACACATTCATTTTTACCATAAAAATTCTTCCCAACAATGGTAATTGTCATTTCCCTCATCTTGTTAAATCTTTCTTAATTTAATTCCATACTTTAAAAGAAATTATTTTCAAATAACATACGAATCTTATTAGTTATAATGATACCCAAATATTTTATTTTTCTCAATCCGAAAACCTGTTTTCACAGACAATTATTTTTGGATTTCATATCCTCTCCCAACATCTTTGTTTTTTCCTTATTAATTTTAAATCCAGTCAATGCACCAAATTCTCTTAATTTTCCCATTAATACGTCTATCTCTTCTAACGGGTTTTCCAAAATTAAAACCAAATCACTGGTGAATGCCCTTAGTTTATAAACTTTATAATCTTTTTAAACTTTAATTCCAGCAACACTCTCATCTTGTCTTATATCTGTATTCAAAGTGGGTATCTCTACCCTTTTGTATCTCACAAGACTTGGTCAATTCCTCATTCACAATTATTTGTTGCTTTGTGACTTATACAGCTACAATATTTCATGTACTGTAATAAAGTTCTCTCTGAAATCCGTATCTTCCAAAATTTTAAACAGAAAATTCCAGTTGAAATTATAAAAAACTTTCTCTGCATCAAGAAATATGAAGGCAGTTTATTTTTCATTGTATTGCTCCAAGTATCTAATACATTAAGAACATTTTTAATGTTATCTTCTAATTGCCACATTGATCTTCATAGATAACATAGAATATTTTTCAGTCTTTCAGCTAAAATTATGAATATCTCATAATCATCATTCAGTAATGATGATATTGGCCTATAATTTTTTTTTGGCAAAGTCAAATCCCATCCTTCTTTAGGAATCAGTGCTATATATGTTCCTGTCCATCATTTTTTTTTTTGCAAAGGTAATAAAAGCTCGTCTTCAAAATAATTATAATAAGAAGCCTATGATCCATTTGGACCATAGGTTCTATTTATATTTGGTTTTTTTTATAGCATCACAAATTTCCCTTATTGTTATTGGTCCCTTCATTGTTCATCTTCGGGCATTTGTTGACTTAGTAGATCTTTAAGAATACTTCTTAAAGTATTCATTTGTCCTTGCAAATGAAATTTCTTCTCTCTAAGATAGCATTGTATAATACCGTACTGATGAAATTTTCTTTCAGTGCATACACTATTGATCACCATAATTTTCTCTTTCTGTGATTTTAATTTTTTCCCCTTTTCTTTTCTCAGGAATTTTGCTGAGTCAAAATTCCTTTGTGTAACAACATTCCATTTTATTTCCCCCTCTCTCACACAATTAACATAGAAAGCTGACACTGTAGGAGTTTAATTTGCTATGGGATTTTTCTCTCTCTCTCCAGAGATCTCATTAGTTTATTCTCTTTTCTCTTTATATTTAGAATTATTGTATATTTTCTTGTCTCTTTTTTGTTCAGTTGATTACTCTGTTCTATAAATTGTCCTTCCATAAATGCTTTGCAGTTTTTTATTTTTCTGAATTTAAAGTTTTATTTCATATACAGTACTTTATTATATTTTTATACCTGGATATTATTTACTGGGCACCATATTTTAAGCAGATATACTTTTTTTATTGCCCCAGTAATTAAAATAGGTATCTACAACTTTATCAATTAAACTATTGAGCTATGGGGGAGGGTCATGGCAGTATGACATACAGGTTATCTGAAAGTTGTGGGCATTTCCACACAATATATTTGCAACCCTTCTAGATTAGCTTGACATCTAGGCAATTCCATGTCTTTGGCAGTTGAGTCAATTTGTGGTTGGTTTCAACTATACTGTACAAAAGGAACTATTCTAAGGCCAGTTTCCAGATGGAAATGCTTGGTATTGAGGACAGGCCATTCCCACGTTGCAGTGTACTCTTGCCACCACCTCCATTGAGCTCTTGACTTTCAGCTAGCCCAAAATATCCTGTGAAGAGAATGTTGGCTGAACAAGTTCCTTAATCTCATAGCTTGCCCAAAATGAATAGGGTGAAAATGATGAGACTTGAGCATTCCAACTGCCTACAAAGACCTTCAGTCTGTTAGGTTCTTCTTTCCTTCCTTTAAAGAGGGGATGAATGGATTTTTAATTTTTTAGAATTGTGGTTGTTAAACCTGTAGCTGTTCGGGTAGGAGCAACTATTTTCTTTCCATATTCCCAACATTTCTAAATTGGCAGAATTCAAATACAATTTTCAAGTCATGTACAGATCATTTAGAGGGATCGGGGATGGGAAGTCGCAGCAGTATGGAAGTGTCTTTTAGTCATTACCTTATCTCATCTGGCTTTTTTAAAATCACTTCCCTAGTTTGTAATTGTGGGTGTACTATTTAAAGAATGCCTGAACAAATCCAATAGATGTCAGTTCTTGAGACCTACAGTTTGCTGTCAATGGTCACGTATATTCAAAGAAGTAGCAGGAAGCTTATGTATAAAGATCAGTGGGCCTATATATCTAAAATAAATTTCCCGCACGGACTGATCCAGGCTCAGATTAATGGTAGGAAAGAAATTGTTGATCCAGGTGGAAGTGGTTAAGGAGTCTTTTTTCTTTGGATCAAGGTGAGGAAGATATCAATAGAGAAGAAGCTAGGAATAGAAGATGAGGATTTGTGGTTTAAGTCTGGTATAAATACATTGGCACACAGTGAAACTACATTGTCGTTCTCAGTTGCCTCTGTGAATAAGATGATTTTGAAGGTTCATGCATGATGTTGATTGAATTCTACATTAATAGCTACTGAGATGGAATTGCTTGGAAAATTATAAATGTATTCTCATTTCTTTAGAAAGAATATAAAATCCTGCAAATGACTGAGGGCAATTTAAAGTTTCGTTTTGCATAGGAAAACAATTTCAGGATATGATGAAGCTTAATATGGATCTGCTTCTGGGAATGGAAGTCCAATGTAGCATTTTTGCTGCACGCTATCAATCAGAAAGAGCTCTGGGACTTCAAAAAAAGCTTCAGAGGCCCATACTTTTGCCTTATTGATTTTATAAACATAATTTCAACTTGTATTTGTTTGCTTAAAATAACTTTTTCAGGAACATATCTGATTTGTGAGTTCTTAATCTTTAATCTTTGTAGCTATTATTTCATTGCCGAGAAATTAGAGATGCTTTATGTGTGAACAATCTTCAATAGATTTTTATTGAAGTTTGGACTTGACTTGTAACTATATAAATATTACATATACTGTACATCATTTATACTTTATACGATGCCTATTTATACTAGTTGCCTTAATATGTGATTAAATTTGCTTATTAAAACACCCCCACCAATAACTAACTGAAGGAAATACCAATTCAAAGCAGAACTAAGAAAGGTTATGAAAAGCATGCAAGCTGTAATCCTATTCCTAAAATGATCCTTATTTATTATTATGATTGATTGCACAGTCAGCCAGGTGTTTAAACTGGATTTGGCATTTTTATCTATGCTGAGTTTTTCCCAAGCATCTGGTATAGGCAGATGTTGGTATGTTGGAGAGTGTTGGTAGTGTAACTGAAGAACCATTCACTAGTGGGTTCAGGAATATGACTGATCATCCTTAATCTGTTGGTGCACCTCTACAACATCACATCTTTATATCTACCATGCATTAATTGAAAATGTTGCTTTGTCTTCCATGAATTTGGCTATTCCCCTTTTTAAGTTTGTGGTCATTACAACTCCTGAGCTATGCATTGTCTACATATTAATCTTTATTTTTATCTGTCTTGAATCTCCCATTGTTTGCTTTTAATGAATAATTCCAGGTCCTGTATTACAGCAAATAATATTTTTTTCCTTTTCCACACAAAGACTTCTCTATGGTATCCCTCTTACTAAGCAGTTGTACTGTGATAAACTAAATTGCTGGAGATCATAGAAGATTCCTTGTTAATATACATGGTAGATATCTTTTGGCTTAGTATTGAAAACCTGTTTTTCAAGGAAATTGGTGCTTAAATCCCTGAGTCAGATGTAGGAAGAAATAACATGACTTGGGTAGTCCTCAGATGAGGCAGAATTTGAACCTAGTTTATGGTGAGTTTAATATTCAAGGAACCAGGCAATGTGTCCCACTGTCTCATTTGTTGCTCAATGCCATACCAAGTCTAGGGTGTATCATTACAACCCCTTATTTCATATTTCATTCTTCTCAGGGTGCAATGGGTCCCCGTGGGCCACCTGGATTACCTGGAAAACCAGGAGAGGATGTGAGTATTATTTTCTTAAACATCCCAATATTGGGATCAGCATAGGCTAATCAGCTTAGGTGAAGGAGGAGTTTGCTAGAAACGTTACGTTCAAATGTTTATTTAAAGAATATACCTTGATGTTTATATCAATTACCCTACTCCAATATATCATTTGTTCTCAGAAGGGAGATGTGGATTCTAATATAATTATGCTGAAGAGGAAGGTATTTGTAGACTTTGACAAAAGCCAATGTCTACAGAGGTATACCATTTAAAAGAAAGAATGAATTGTTGCATCACAACCCACTGAGAACACAAATGCAGAATGACAGAACTGGACGGGACCTTGGAGGTCTTCTGGTCCAACCCCCTGCTCAAACAGGAGATCTTATACTATTCTGGACAAATGGCTGTCCAATCTTAATAACCTCCAGTGTTGGAGCATCCACAACTTCTGTAACCAAGCTGTTCCACTGATTAATTGTTCTCACTGTCAGGAAATTTACCCTTCTTTCTAGGCAGGATCTCTTTCTATCCATTACTTTTTGACCTGCCTTCAGGTGCTTTGGAGAAGAAGGTCGGCCCCTTCTTCTCCGTGACAGCCTTTCAAATATTGGAAGACTGCTATCATGCCACCCCTTGACCTTGTCTTCATTAGACTAAACATATCCAGTTCCCCTAACAGTTCATTAACTGAGAATGTTTACTGGCTGATCAGCTGTTGAGAAGAAAAACAACAACCCAGAAAGCTAAAAACTAGGCAAGAATTAAGTAAAAAGGGACATGACTGCCCCACTGCCCCAAGCCAGGAACACCCCACATAACACTATTTTGTCCCAGATTCTGTTTGTCAGTCATATGTGTACAGTACATATACAGGTACACTCATACATTGACATTTAGAATGTCCCAATTGCGTAACCCTGAAATAGACAATTCCATGGCATTAATCTGCTTCTGAGCATACAGTATGTATATTTATATATATATATATTTAGAAATGAACTGTTAAGCATATACAAAGTGAAAATATCCAGTGAAAACATTGAAGCGATGAGGGCCTAAGTTTAGTTCTTTTTCATTTAAAAATGATACCTTATCTAATTTTGGGGCTCTTGAGAAGGAGGAAGAACAGTCAAGGGTTGTCTGATTCTTCTGTATTTCTCTTTGTGCAAGGAAAAACACATCCCGTACTTTTAAAAATAAAGATGACTCTCTGTGTTTGCAATATTTTGACAATAGAATGCTGGACTTTATCATAGATCAGGCCCAGCCAAGCAGTGTCTTGATGAGTCTTATCCACTTTTTTGGTGATATATTTTGTGTAAATGGGATCCTTCCTAAATAAAATTGCATCCACTTTGGGTTTTTTTCAGGGTGAAGCAGGCAAACCTGGCAAATCAGGAGAGCGTGGATTACCTGGACCTCAGGTATGGCTGTGTCCTCCGTATCAGTATAGATAGTTAGATTCAGAAACCACAATCCTCCAATTTTATCTTACGGGTTATAAGAGGCACAGTATAAAATTATAGTCTTTGGAGCCAAAGTGTCTTTCTTTTCTCTTCCTGGTGACAGGCTGAAAATTGCAACCTTCATGATGCTAAGTGGGCAGTACTAACATCCTGATTTTTGAGTACCTTTACTGCAGCACTGTAATTCTGTATATCCTAAAGTGAACGGACTGATGTTAAATCAGGATACTGAAAGGAGGAAGTAAATAACAGGGAGCAAGCAAAATATTCCTACCTTCCCTTTAATGATGAAGATAATCAGATTGAGAAGGAAATGAAGGGTTATAAAAGCCCTTTTTTGACAGACTTTGTTTTCTTCTATTATGATAAACGTCTGTGGGTCTGATTGATCTAGGTTCTATGTAAATGACTATCGCATTAGAAACCCAGTTTTTCCTTTAGCTTTTGCAGATATTGTACTTTTATGAAGTTAGTAGCAGTAGTAGGAATCGTTGCATGTGTGTTTTAGAAAACGTGTCTATTTTTTTTTAACTAATTAATTTCTCATTTAAATTTAGGGTGCTCGAGGTTTCCCTGGGACCCCAGGTCTTCCTGGTGTCAAAGGTCACAGAGTAAGTTTGTATTTTGCAGATGAGATTTTTAAATTTTAATTTAATTCAGAATTGATCCCTATGCTTCTTTCTCTCTCTCTCTCTCTTCTAGGGATATCCTGGTTTAGATGGCTCTAAAGGAGAAGCTGGTGCTCCAGGTGCTAAGGTAGGACTGAGAATTCCCATCCTAAGATATGATTGGTGAAAACCCTGTTATTTTTAGCATATTGTTAAGCTTACATTTATTTATGCATTTAATTCATTTCCCCTCCCCCCACCCAAATATTAAATTATAACTTATCATTTCCTACTTTTTAAAAGGAAAGCTTCAATTATGTTGAATCCAATGGTTGCAGGCAGGAAAAGCAATATTAACCATTCCTAGATTGAAATTCATTTGATAGAAAAACAATTTCCGCTGTCATTTTGCTAGCCTAGATTTTTTTTTTCCAAGGAAGTTCCATAAAAAGGAGCAGATAGGGTTATTGTAGAAGGGAGAAACACTCCCTGTTAAAAGGATGCTGATTTCTACTGATACAGAAATCAGTTCACCAGAGATGGCAAGTTTTACAAATCAGACACAAATAAACAATGAGACCGGTAATCAACCTCTACTTCTATAAAAACATTTTTAAAAGGAATTTTACATTTGTTTTCACTTTTTAAACTATCCAGAAAAAAACTGTTATTGGAAAACAGTTAAATCATGATTATATTAATTATGCCATATTGATACAGTGCGTACTTATACTGTAGATGTATTATTTTATGGCCACCAATTGGCGTTCCTTTTGCTAACCTCTGTGATGTCACTTTCCCATTGCATTATGATATCTCTAGCCATCCTATTCATCTTAAAAACAATTGGTAGTGTATATTAAGACACTTGCATTACGAAGAAATATGCATGAGGATTCCCAGGACACTTACGTCCTACTTTATGCTGTGATAGACAGACAGTCAATCAATCAATCAATCAATCAATCAATCAATCAATCAGAATAGAGCTGGAAGGGACCTTGTAGGTCTTCCAGTCCAACCCCCTGCTCAAGCAGGAGGCTCTATCATTTCAGACAAGTGACTTGTCCAGTTTCTTCTTAAACACCTCCAGTGATGAAGCACTCACAACTTCTGAAGGCAAGCTGTTCCACTGATTAATATTTTTAACAGTTGATACTTTTGAAGGGTTGACAGTTGATACTCATTTAATTGCTTATGCAAAATAACTGTCCAAAAACCAAGAAAAACATGCTGAGTTTCTTCTAAGCAGTTTCCTTTATAGTTCCTCACCTACAGAAATCTCACCAAACTAAAGGAAACTATTTGCATCATTAAAAATATATTCTGAGAACTTCAAGGGAGGAGGAACTGTCTTGACCTCTACCTCCCAACCCAACTATCTAAATTTTGCTATCTAAATTTTGCTCCTCTGGAATATAGAATCTCCCTCCAGGGAATCCAGAGCACATTCCACCTCAGTAACTTCCAGTTCTAGAAAACTGGAGTTCTTTTGCAGCAAGAGAATTCACCTCAGGTAGCCCTTGTTTAGCAACTGCCTGATTTAATTAACTACCGTTCACAGTTCTGACTGTGATGAAAAAGTAACTTTGAAACCAATGTTCACATTTATGATCTTCGCAAGTCTGTAAAGCAAAGGAAAGCTGAAGTAAGATAAGCTTTTACTTATCTTGGTTGGTTTCACTTAGCAACTGCTTTGCTTAATGACTGAGTTGCAGATCCCAATTATGATCACTAAAGAGAACTCCCTGTACTCCCTGAAGAGTGATTAAGTCTCATAAAAACATGACTAACTTGGTACCAAGCTGGAACTGACTCACCTCTTACAGAATCTAATAGCTATAGGGCAGTGATGGCTAACCTTTTTGCCATCGCGTGCCAAAAGCGGGGGAGCATGTGCCCACACCCATAATTCTATGTGCTCCACACATGCGTGTGCAAACCCCCCACCCGTGGTCCCCCCGCTTTTGGCACTTGATCCGGCCCTCCAGAGGCCGGAAATGGCCCATTTGCTGGCTTCCGGAAGTTGGCAAACGGGCCATTTCCAGCCTCCGGAGGGCCTTTCAGGGGGGTGGGGAAGGCTGTTTTCACTTTCCCCAGGCTCCTTAAGAGGCTCTGGAGCCTGGGGAGAGCAAAAAACGGGCCTTCCGGTCCTACTGGAAGTCGGCAAATGGACCATTTCTGGCCTCCAGAGGGCTTTTCGGGGGTGGAGAAGGTCGTTTTCGCTCTCCCCAGGCTCCAGAGCCTCTCTAGGAGCCTGGGGAGAGTGAAAACAGGCCTTCCCCACCACCCCCCAGGCCCTCCGGAGGCAGGAAACCCCCTGTTTCCCTACTTCTGGGTGGCCCAGAAGGCCTGAAAATCAGTGCGCCGGAGCTGAGCTCAAGTGCCCACTGATATGGCTCCGTGTGCCAGCTGTGGCACACGTGCCATAGGTTTGCCATCATGGCTATAGGGCATCCTCTAATGAAGATGTGTTGAAATGGCCAGCCATCAGTTAGCTATTGATGTGTTTTCCATGCTTGTGAATTGCCCTCTAGTGTTCCCTTGATGCGAAAGGTAGTAATGATTTTGCAGCTGAGGCCAACCACGATGTCCCAATTTGTTTTATATTTTCTTGGGCTGTTTGATGACACAGATGTCTAGTTTACCATTGTTTCTTTTTTCTCTAGGGTGAAGCTGGATCTTCTGGGGAGAATGGTTCTCCTGGTCCTATGGTGAGGATCTATTGCTCAGTTATTTTTAATCATTATCACAACACCAACACTGTAAGTTGGCCATTGTCCATATCTAATTATCCATATAGAGCAGGGGTGTCAAACTCATGGCCCATGGACCAGATGTGTCATGTGCTGGCCCCACCCCCACCCGGTTTAGCGAAGGGGAAAAATGTCCCGATACGTCATGTGACGACGCGAGTTTGACACCCCTGATATAGAGTGTCAGCGTTCCAGGAAAACCCCAACTCCAAGTAAAGACGCGGAAGCAAGAATTTTCCAAAGTTCTCTTTACTAGAATAGGTAAACTGGCACATCTGGGAAAACCCGAATCTGAAAAGCCCGGGTTTTCCTTCAGTAAGTCAAAGCTCCCAAAACCATCCCCTTTCTCCCTAGTCAATCACATGCTCCAATTAACGTCCGTTCCATCTCGACCCAGCCTGACCACTCCTTCTCCAGATGCTGGATCGCCCTGACCTTGACCGACAGGAAGAAGGCTATTATGTCTACTAACCCCCTCTCCTAAATCCCCCCTCCTACTTTCCCACACATGAGGAGGTGGCAGCATTGAAGCTTCCGGCCTAATATGGCTTCCAAGGCTGACATAGAGCATACTTTGTCTTCTTTGCATCCCCAATAGGTTAATGCAAACAAACTGCATTTACATTTTGAGTTCCATGGAATCTAGATGACACAGGTAGAATTCTCATGTAAAGTAGTTTCCTACCCATGCTTCCTTAGTCACAGCATGTGTGTACTCATGCACAGTATCAATCACGGAAAATGCATACACACAAACAGTAGAATCCTATAGTATTCAGATCTCTCTCACTGCATCTCTTGCTTGTATATCCTAGTAAGCATTTCATTGGTGAATTATTGTTATTATTTATCACATGGCCCATTCACATCATATTTCGATAAAAACAAAGCGATAAACATACAAAATATGAAATATTTCTAGATTACAGATACAATTTTTTGCATCTGTCACAGCCAGGAAATCAGCAAAGTCTCCATTATAGACTCTTTTTTGGCATTCTGCCACTATATGTTGAATAGTTTGTCTTTTGGCCCCACAGTCGCAATTCAATGATGGTATAGAGGGTGTCTCCACATCTACCATGGTCAGTGTGAATTCGGTCCAGTGTTGGGGAACTAGAAGATAAAACACACAGGGTATTAGTTTTAGACGATAACTCTCTTGAAGGACAGTAGGGCTGTAATACCTTTTTAACTTTTACTTCTACTATTCCTTAGGGTCCCCGTGGCCTTTCAGGTGAAAGAGGACGTCCTGGCCCATCTGGTGCTGCTGTAAGTATCAGCATAGTTTGAACGTTACAAATCTTGCCCTGTGGGTATGTTGCTTGAGTGCTTTTTACAGCTACAGAATGTATACACTCATTCATGCCTTCAGCAGAAAACCCCTCCCCTCTTTACAATTGCCATCTCATTCACTGTGGCCAATTCAATCTCCCAGACTAACGGTATATCCTCCTAATGTAAAGGATGAAGGAAAATTAATGCAGTACTATGGTGGCTGCGCAGGCAAAGCACACATACTTTTTAATATACCCTTAGGATAAGGATGGTAGCATTTACTGTGTGCCATGCAGTGTTAATTAAAGAGAAGCATTTGTGTAGAAAACAGTTTTAATTATCTTGTGGTCTGGACCTCAAATATAGGATTAAATTTTGTGCTAAACCTGTCTTGGGCACCTTCTAGTTGTGTGAACCTAAATTCTCAGAAATGATTGGGCTGTTTAGAAAAGGCATTGGAAGTTGCCCAGACTGAGGAAGGCTGCAATAAAAGAAAAGCCAATGCATTGAGGTCTTCCTTCCTCTTCCTTCCTTTCTTCTTTTCACCTGCCTTTCCTTAAGTACCATGTAGCACAAGATTATGGAAGTAACATGTAGTGAGGGTTGCCTTTTGAAGTTCAGCTTCTAGGTTAATGGTTCTAGGAGCAACTTCTGGAAGGCAGGAGAAAAAAATAGCAATGTAGCTGTAAATTTGGATGTACCTGCAATGCTTAATCTCAGATTTTATAGGATTAGTAGAGACCCAGTTTGTATAGTGGTTAAGGCATCAGGATAGAAACTGGGAGACCATGAGTTCTAGTTCCACCTTAGGCACAAAACCAATTGAGTGACCTTGGGCCAGCTGCTTTCTTTCAGCCCTAGGAAGGAGACAAGGGCAAACCACTTCCCAAAAACCTTACCAAGAAAACTGCAGGGACTTGTCCAGGCAGTCAGCAGGCATCAATGCTGACTCAAAGGAACAAAAATAATGTAGTAATAGGATTAATGCATTGATTGGACAATAGAAAGGACTTCTCTGTAAAAAGTTATTGGAACAGACCTATTCCATATATTTGCTTATTTTGTTCTTGTCCAGTCCTTTCTCCAAGGAGCATAAGATGACATACATGGTCCATTCTGTTTGATCTTCTCAAAAACTTTGCATAGCCAATTAGTCTGAGAAATGGTGATTTGTCTAATGTCAGTGGATAAATTCTGCAGTGTACTGTAAATACAATGCAAAACAAAGCTGAGTTTCAGGTGCAGATATTTTTACAGGGCTGTAAGTCAAATAAATGGACCCCTTGGTCCATTTCACATCTCAAAAATATGTGATTCCTCATTTGCCACTGTACTAAACATTGCCTGAAATCTCTTTTGGCTTTTTTTTTTTTAACCACATGGTAAAATTTCTCTAATGGTCATTATAAAACACAGCAGGACTGTTTTTGGCCCAGGTTCCAGACTGTTTATTTGCACAGATTTGAAATGTTGAAGAAGTTAAGGAGCTGAAGTAATCAAGTTACTCAATAGCAGTAAGTCCAGATTTCCAGTAGTAGGAAACAGTAGGATTTACTGTTTCCTATGACTAAATTTAAATCCACCATATTGAAGAGCTGTAAGAGTTTGAGGGAAAGTGAGAGACAAGATACTCAGAATAGGTGAGTCCCAAATGAAGAGATGCGAGGGAAAAAATTAAGAGATTTTGTTTTTATTGACTGACTGCAATACATTTGAGGGTGCGAAATGAAAAGCTACCCTGTTTTTACCCCAGTATAGCATTAGATATAGTTTCCTAAAATCTATGTCATTCTTGTTTTCTTGGTTTTGCCACTATATGAGTCTTGGCAACAAGAAGGTAATTTCATCACTGTAGTTTTTATAAATTTCTTACCACTCACCAAATATAAAGACAGTTTATACTTGTGATGGAGAAAAAAAAAGATTTTTAATTGTAATTGTTAAAGCAACAACAAACACATCTTAAAAATAGTTCCACTTCAAAATAGGGGAATATAAACTTTTCAAGGAGAAAGCAAATAATTTTATTCGAAGTATACAGTTGGGATGTTTAAAAGGGGTTTTAACTAGGCCTAAGCAAATAATTCAATAATTTAGATTTTCTCTTTGAAACCACAAAACGTCTTATCAAAAGCTCTTCTGAGTTATCTGAGTGGTTTATCGTTTAAGGAGTTATGTTTGCACAAACTTAATTTTTTACTATAATTGAAGGGAGGCATGTGAAGGAGGCATGCTTTTTGTTTTGCTTTAAGTCCTTTGATGGCATCCCTGTGAGGGCTTTGGAGAGTCACGTGACCCTTCAGCCTCACCTTTCCATTTGTTTTCCTGGCCCGTTGCCTGAGATAGGAGCAACGAGGCCAAGCAATTAGTCTTTAGTTACAGGAGGGCAGGAATGTCAACCCATTAGCTGCTGAGAAGGACTCCTCACAAGAGGCCCTGCTCGGGCTCTGGAATTGTGTGAGATTAGAACTATAGTCCTGTAGAAAAGTACAATTTTTTCTAAAACCCGTTGTTCGAGGAATAGCCGTAGATATGACTCAGATGTCCTAACACTGAAAGATGATGTTGTTTGCCGTGATTTTTTTCAATGCATGAACTTCCTTTTTCTCTTGTGAACCAAAGACATAGATGATTAAAAACCAGAATTTTTCTATAGAACTGTAGCATATCTAACTTGAAATTTAAAGAAAGCTAATTTAGACCCTTTTTATTCCAGCTATTGCATGCCTCCAAAACTGGGAAGTTGTAAGAACGAGCCTCAAGTATCTTTTCATTGCTTGCATTCTCGTGAGCGTGTACCTTCTCACATACTCTATTTTGCCTCAAGAGAGAGCAGTATGTGAGCAGATTTCTCCTCATGTAACATATTTCTTCTTCCTTTTTCTCCTCCTTGGCTTCCTGGCATGCCTCCAACTCTCCAGAGAAGATGTTAGTGTGCTGATGGAGAACAAGGGAGTAGGGCAGCTATTAGATAGCTAAAGATTTGCTCGGAATTCTAAATCCATTTGGCAGCAAAACTCCAAATATAAGTATACTGTTGTATGATGAAGTATACTTTTCTTAGTCAGTATTTTGTTCACACAGGGTGCTCGTGGTAATGATGGTCTCCCTGGTCCAGCTGGTCCACCGGTAAGTAATTAAGTATTTTAATTTTTCCCTTTCTGGAAAATGACCATGCTATTTACATTTATTGTTATTATAATAATATGATCTAACTTTTCTAAAAATAAAACCCTCTCCTCGATTATACCAGTGATATCATGAAAGACAACAACATTATATTGTAAAACCTATCCTCTATACCAAAGACTGCAATCTGATAACAAATACTCATGCTTTGTTTCAGAATTAATATCAAAGCTTTGCAAAAAGGGGGAAAAAAACAAACCAGGTGGTATTTAAAAGATGAAAAAAAATATGGTGTTTTCATAATAACAGCAATGATAGTAATAGGTGTCTTGGGTACAATCCCAAAACAAATGAAGCAGCACTTGAACCCCATCAAAATTACAAAATTACCATCAGTCAATTGCAAAAGGCAGCGTTAGTCAGAACAGCTTGTATCTTGCAGCAATACCTTTAATGCCATCAAATATCAACATCTGCCTATCCCAACTCCTTGGGAAGGACTCAATAGTTGGATAAAAATGCCAAATCTGATCTGAACATCTGGCTGACTGTGTGACAAACTATAATGATTATTAAAGGAGCAGGGAGACAAATTCTGAGGCATATATCTGTCATACAAATTGTGAAAGCAGAAGGAAACAGGTGCAAAAACTATGAGATGTTTCCATATGAATATTTTTATTTAATCTGAGAGAACAAGAGATTTTGGAAACACTGATGGGTGGTATAGTTAGAGAAGGAGAAGAGCCTGCAAAAATGGGAAACAATGTAGGAAGTCAGAGTAGGGTAAGGTTGAACAAGAACAGATATCCATAAGGATATCCAAATCTGTAAAATGACAGATGTGGCATTGCAATTCAAGGCCTGCCCCTTTTATATATGCATGATGTAATACTGTGCCTATTATTGTGTTACACATTTACACACATGTACACCAGTGGTCACTGCAGCTGAGAAAAACTATAATTGGGATGTGAGGAGATGGGAAACTATTCAAGGAAGATGCCAGATGGTCAAAGCAACAACAATTTGGGCATTTTCCTTTTGAACAGACACAACAGGACTGAGGAATATTAAGGAATATTAAGGCAAGCTGCAAAGAACAAGATTGCTCTAGCAAAGATTAAAGATATCTAGAAAGATACCTTCAGAGTGGTAAATGAAGGGGTAAAAACAGAAATATATTTTTTGTTTGTTGTACAATGAGGAGCAGCTTGATAGTAGAAAGGGCATAGGGAAGAAATGGTGAATAATGAATTTTTTTCCCCAAAGTGTAAAACATTGTGCTCACATCTTCAGAATCAGGGATGCAACTGATTTTTGGAGCAAATGTTTGATTAAATACTATTTAACATTTCGAGCAGTTAAATTATGTTTTTACTCTAGCTAGACCTGTGTAATAGAAGCTTTTTAACTTATAGTAGTTATTTTACTGGGAAATAGAAAGCATTATTACAGAATAAAGAACAGTTATGAAATGTAATACTGCAGTAAATTAGTATTGAAGGAATATTATTTTACAATTACTTGGTGACCACCTTTGACTGTTCATAAGTCAGTCAAATTTGTCAAGTTATTCATGTCAATTTCATTCTTTCTTTTTTCCAAATAATTTTATTAAGAATTACAAATGAAAGAAATAAAAGTAAATACAAACACAAAAGTACAAAAAGAAAATAGTGTGAAAAAGAAAGAAAGAAAAAGAACTGAAAAAGAGTAACCTTCCCCTTCATTCCAGCAAGTAAACAACAATTTTAATAGCTTATCACCATCTCTAAATATAACATAATCTCTCTTTTCTCCACCTAGTTAATCTCTTAAGTAGAAAACATAAATCCATAAGCTTCGTCAAATGTTCCTTGTCAACAAAATATCTGGGAAGGGAAGCAGATACGACTTTTTTCCTCTTTTAGCCCTGATCAAATAAACCAACTTGATAAATTTTCCCTGAATTTTTATTGAAATATCTAATGAATAACTCATGAGAAGAAAAGAAGAAAGACTCTTTGAAGGTAGCTTATTAAAAACAAGGAACAACAATAATCTTATACATTGAAACTAGACTGGATCTGACACAGATTCCAAATTCAAATTCCAATAATATCCAACCCTTTCAGTTAATTATGATAAATATATTACACAACTCTGGATTTGGGCTTTTTCCCCCTCCAGACAGCATCTATTACATCCACTTTTTCCTTGTTTGAACCTTTCTATATTATTATAAGCACCTTTTTTTCCTGACCAAACTTCTAAATAAAAAAAAAAATTGGAACAGATGGAGAATTGGGACAGTGAAGGGTGTTGAGTGCTCTTTTTATTAAATCTAAGAGTAACTAAACACATCAGCAACTTTATTTCTTGTCTCAGTTTGACCAAAGGCTTGTTTCAGCCACAAATACATTGGGAAGCTCAGTTCAGCTATAACTGTCTACCTCTACATTTAGATAATTCCGTTATTATATTTTAGGAGTGAAATGCACAACTGCTTAAATGAGCATCAAAATTCTAAATGTTTAAAAGAATTCAGTTCTGCTTTTTGGCAAGCTCACTAAAGCCACTTGTTTTGTTTCCTTTTTTCAGGGACCTGTTGGCCCTTCTGGTGGACCAGGGTTTCCAGGAGCTCCAGGTGCAAAGGCAAGTCATGCTTCAGAGCCAAAGTAATGTTTCTGCAATTGTGCAGCATAATTGCATCCACTTCCCATGTCACTATGCTAACTCAACACTGTCCATCTTTCATTCTTTTTATTAATTTATCCATCTGAAGAATAAGGAAAAGAAAAAAGATTTAATCTCCCTGATTTTTTTTTTAAAAAGGAGGAAAGTACAGGTAGTCCTCGACTTACCTCAGTTCATTTAGTGACTCCTCAAAGTGACAACAACACTAAAAAAAAAGTGACTTATGACCGTTTTTCACAGTTACCACCTTTGCAGCATCCCGATGAGCATGTGATCAAACTCCAGATGCTTGGCAATTGGTTCATATTTATAACTGTAGCTGTGTCCCTACAAGTCATGTGAATCCCTTTTGCGACCTTCTGACAAGCACAGTCAATGGGGAAACTAGATTCACTTAACAACCGGGTTACTAACTTATCCACTGCAGGGATTCACTTAACAACTGTAGCAAGAAAGGTCATAAAAAGGGGCTAAACTCACTTAACCAATGTCTCATTTAACAACAGAAATTGTAAGTCAAGGTCTACCTGTATAGACTGGATTTATATTAATAGATCTTTCAGGACCCATTTTTGATTTTGAGGATTATTTTAGGGGCAGACAGCCTGAGAATTTTAAGGAATATGAATTATACTGAAGAATTTTGTGATTCCATCTTGTCCAGTCTTGTTCTATTTTATCTGTTTCTGTGGGTGCATAATTTGCTGCAGTGAAATGGAAAAGCAATGAGTCTAGCTAAGAAAACAGTACAAGGAGAAAGTAGGCGTGGGAATTTTTCAAGACTTTTAGAAAATGTCTTGAAATAGTGGCTAATATAAGGCTTGTGAATATCCTGTATAGGATAATGTGAAGACCTTTGAGTTGGTGACAGATGAACTAATTTAGACTTCTTTTTTTTAGTAATGATGATTTTGTTTGTAGGGGGAATATCCTTAACAGAATTAAGGCCCATTATTGAATATGTTTAAGATGCTGAGCCTGTCGATCAGAAAGGTCGGCAGTTCAGCAGTTCGAATCCCTAGCGCTGCGTAATGGAATGAGCTCCTGTTACTTGCCCCAGCTTCTGCCAACCTACCAGTTCGAAAGCATGTAAAAATGCAAGTAGAAAAATAGGGACGACCTTGGTGGGAAGGTAACAGCGTTCTGTGCTCCTTCGGCATCTAGTGATGCCGGCCACATGACCATGGAATTGTCATCAGACAGCGCTAACTCTTCGGCTTAGACATGGAGATGAGCACCGCCCCCTAGAGTCAGGAACGATAGCATGTATGTGTGAGGAGAACCTTTATCTTTACCTTAATAATGTGTTTTAAGACCACAAATCAAAATAATTTGTTTTAAATCAAGGGAAATTCTCCCATTCACTTCCTCATCTGGAAAGTTTGTTGAAATATTTATATTGCAACGATTATCAAATGGAATAATAGTTGAGACTTGAAAAATTCGCTGGTGAAAAAAAAAATCTCATATCCATTTCCTGCTAAATTTTGCTCTTGCCGCAGGTCTTCCCGCTCACACATTCATTCACCATCCATTTGAGAACAGACGTAGAAATTGCTGACTGTGAATTTAACATTAGCTCACATGCTTGGACACTTCTGTGTTCAGATGGAATCAACTCTTGTAAAAGAATACTCTGTTTTCTGTGTGCTATTGGCTCTGTTATGTGTACTACAGTACTTTTTCAACAATATCTTCATTCCTCAGTGTGTTCATATTCCTTTCAAGTATTCCTGAGTATTTGGCCCAGGCCGTCTTTTGCTCCAGGCTTGAAATCAGAATGTTGCTAAAGGGGCAAGGCAATCACAGAATCAACCCCCCCCTCCACAGGAGACCTATCATAATGTTATGGGCCTTGGCTCAGCTTCACAGATTTCCTTATTGTAAGGCTCATTAGGGCAAGGGAAAACACAGAGAGAGCCGGAGAGAATGGCCTTCCCTTGGGAACTCCGAAAACCACGTGATTTCTGATTTTAATGTGCTAATCTGCTAGTGGACTAGTTTCTAGGGTTACTAGACAGTGAAGGGGCCATGTGTATATGTGTGAGGGGAGCTGGAGATGGTAGGAAATGAGGCCCCTTGTGCAGTATCCCACAAGAACTAACAATGGGTCTTCTTCATTAACAAAGTGCCCTTGTTACAAAAGATGAAGAAAAGAATCCTTCTGAAGGGAACATCAGAGATAATAAGATGGGGTGAGGGAGGGGAAAGGAATATTAGCATTTTGCATTTTAGGGATGGTGCTTTCTTTGGGAATGGGGGGAAGAGCAAGAACGGAAAAGCCTAAAAACTTGGTACGAAATAACACGAGAGTGTGTAAGCTTTCAGATTCTCCAGAACTCTTTATGAATTGATCTAATCTGAGAAGGAGAGTGGGAAAGAAGTGGACAAACCCAAAAAGCAAGTTTCGCAATTTGGGGTTTTGCAATTTAAAGAGTAAGATTTTAATTGTCCAAGTTACTCACACAAAAAAAATCAGGGTCTTTTTCACCCCATCTCAGCCTGCCTCTTATCCGAGGCTTGTTTTAGAATTCCTTTCCTTGGTCAAAATATCAGAGATCATTGTCCAGAAACCATGGTAGTCTATTATGATTGCTTAGTTTATTTAATTTATTTTAAATAAAGAAATATTTCACATTGGGAGCATCACAGCTTATTTATTTATTTAGCATATGGCATATCATACTAGCAATATAAATATTTCACTTAAATTAGTAAAGCACAACAAATATAAATGTTAAAAAGATCTGGGTTCAAATACCAATGTATTGGCCATCAAACCACTGAAGCACAGCATCATTAATATTAAAAAAAACCCAGATACTGGACCAGTATATGCACTCAGCTTACAGCTGGTCATGATGTGATCTACAGTTTGACATAGACCCCACAGTCACACTGAGAGGAGGATACCCCCTGTATACAGAGAGTCCCGGCAGACACCGCTTGAGGTACAAATCCTATTCAGGATTGTCCATTGCTGACATGATAGTTAAAAGCTTGGCACCTTTTTTGTGGGGTCATTTATTTCTCTACCTATGTCTGGATGTTCAGTGACCCATTTGGCTTTCCTTTGGAAATCAATGTTAAAGTTTTTTTTATTATTTTATTATTTTTATTTATTCATTTATTTTGTCAAGCATGTATAAGATAACAGATATAAATATAAACATGATTATGAATATATGAAATGGATACGAATAAATGGGGACAGTAGGACAGGGACGGTAGGCACGTTGGTGCGCTTATGCACCAACAAAATCAAGTTGTTGAGCAGATGTTGAGCAAGTGCCAGTGGGGGCGTCCAGGATTTGAGTTTTCCTGCTAATAAATGAGGAAGATCTGCATGTACCAGTAGGAGTGAGTCTTCATAAAGCTGGCAGTGCTATATGGCTCACAACAGGAAGCCAGCAAAAAGTTTGTAGAGATTCTCAGACATCCAGGTCATGGTTGTCCCAAAGGTGCTTTTTCAGGAGGCAACTGGACTTTCTTATTTTTTTTCTTTTGAAGACCTTTCAAGCATTTCAAAGAAGCCAGCAAGTTGGGATGATTTTAATACATCTGCTTATAATCCTCATCGTGTCGTTGAGTCTGATGTCCAACTTATTAGTGTGACAGCTGTTAAGCCATACAGAGGCACAGTATTCTGTGGAGTAGACCAACCTTAATGCTGATGACCTGGCAACTGAAGCTCCCCATTTAGTTCCACATAATTTCTGGAGTGTGTTGTTCTTGTATTGATTTTTGCCACTATATCCACTAAATGTATCTTATAGGGGAGAGTCCAGTTCAATGTTACTCAAAAGTACTTGTGGATGGGATTATAGGGGAGTAAGTTGTTGTTTCAGTAGACCTTCAGGGCTTCATGTGCTAGCTTTTTGTTAAGGTGGAAGCATGTAGTTACCGTTTCGTTGGTGCTAGGAGTGAATAATTTCCCCAAGGTTTTAAGATCTTCAGAGAGGAGGCTGTCTGTCACTTCCATGAGTTTTTCTTGTACTGCTATGGTCAAATCATCAGCGTATCCAAATTTGCGTCCCAACTTTAGACCACTTCATCACAGCTTTATACCACTTTACAGAGGAAATGTGAGATCTGAGTGTGGTCTCTTTTAAAGAACAATGCAGCCATGTAAGTTCTGAAAATAGGGGAAAATAGAAAGAAAAACTATTGGCCCAAAGTTGCAATCACCAAGCTCTTCTTATAAGATACAGCCTGATTATTCGTACAGGTCACAAAGAATCTAGTAGTTTTTTTCCCCTGATGATATTTAAATTCTTAGTAGTAGTGTGACCCAGGAAAGCCTTTGATTGTCCAGCTGCAGGAAGTGTGTAACCTCCATCAGTTCCAGGGCCTATCAGTTCTATTGGACTATGCAGGCCACATGGAGTATTATACTCTAATGGTGGGTGAGTCCATTGCCCATAGGAGGGAGTTTTTAGGCGCTTTAAGAAGTGCCTTAAACATTTGCAAGACTTAAGGCAGTCCCAAAGGTGCTTTTTTCAAAAGGCAACTGGACTTCCTTTGCTTTTCCTTGAAGACGTTTCTCTTCTCATCCAAGAAGTTTCATCGGTTCTTGAATTGAGACAACCTGGATGACTAAGAATCTCCATAGGACCCTTAAGGCAGTCATTCTGCCTCTTAAACTCCTCTCAACCACCCAGTGAAAAGAACCTCAAATATTTGCCTCTTCAACCACATTGAGAAGTTCTGAGTGGCAAAATAGGAATGGTGGTGGGACATATGAATTCCATGGTCTGCCCTTTTTGCATCCTTCTCTTTACGGATATCTTTGCTGTTTGGTTGGGTTTTTTGTTTTTTGTTAGTAATTCATGTTCCTTTCTTTATATCTATTCAGGGTGAAGCTGGTCCCACTGGTGCTCGTGGCCCTGAGGGTGCCCAAGGCTCTAGAGGTGAATCTGGATCCCCTGGTTCTCCAGGACCTGCAGGACCTCCAGTAAGTACTCTAGTTCTTAAAATACGTTCAAGATCCAGAATCTTTAGATGACGTGAAGATGGCTTACAGTAGTTCACACATAGGCAATCTACAACCAATGGGTTGCATACAATCCTTGGCCGTTTTCTACGTAAGCAGGGAGGAGGCCACAATGTACATTTTTTTATCTTGCTTTCTGCTTGATTAGACATCACCTGATGATTGGGAATAATGGCTGTTCTTGCTGCTGTTAGAATAGAATAGAATAGAATAGAATTTTTATTGGCCAAGTGTGATTGGACACACAAGGAATTTGTCTTTGGTGCATATGCTCTCAGTGTACATAAAGAAAAAATAAAATATATTCATCAAGAATCATAAGGTGTATGTGAATGAGCATGCATATAGACTCAGACATAGTTTATGGGAGAAATTACCCTGGTTTGTAATTGGCAAATGCTCCCACTTTTCATGGACCTTAGTTTAGTGGACTTTGGATACAACACGAAAAAAATCTGTCCATGCACTGTATAGCTTTAGACATGTGTAAAGTCTCATCCATCATTTTACATTTGTGCGAAATTTATAAAATGTGCAAAATACATATGCATAAAATCCTATTCCCATGTTAAGCTTACATAAAATGTATGCAAGATACACATCTAAAATTTCTTTTGGATCTAACAAACATTTCATGTTTGGATTTAACAGACTTTCTTTGTTTCTATTAGTCTGCTAAAACTCAGGTTTACTGTATGTATCTAGAAATTTGTCCTATCATTTAAATGGCTTACGATTCTGAATTCTAAATTCATAAGCCACCAGCAGCGTGTGCACAACATTTTAATGCTGGAATGGTGCCTTGTTTTGTTTTGTTTTTTAATCTGGTTCTTCAAAGCCAAATGTAGTATGCAGAGACTCTGCGATGTATTCCATCCAGTTTCTGCTAACATTTACCTGCAAAGGTTTATACAAAAGCCACAGTTATGTACACATTTGCACATTATCATCTTCACTTGTCCACGTTGATCTGATTATAATAAAATAAAACATGCCTACAAATGAGAAGATTTGTTTGTCTCTTAATGAGATACAAATCATAGTATTGGCAAGAATTTTGAATTTTGAAATTTTGAAGAATTCAAGATAAGAACTGAAAGTTCACTCTTTTCATATTAAAAACTCCTTGAATCTTTGTAGGGACTGAGGTTTTAGGAACTTTGGAAACAAATTCTAATTTGTTTTATAAAACCATAATGGCAAGTTAAGCTGTAATTGCAAATTAAATATCTGTCTATTTGATATTGTTTACTCCAAATTACTTTGACATATTTCAAAATCAGAACTTTTCTAGCCATTGCTGTTTTGGGTTTCTTCTCCTTTATCAGACTATTAGTTATGGTGTGGGGGGGGGGGACTCTAATTTGATACAATGTCCTTCATTTAACAGCATGGCTGTGAATAACCTGGGAAGGAAAAAAAATACAATTGTGACCAATTTTGTGGTTTAAGCCACCTGTTTATAGTTCATTAGTGTAAGAGCCATTGCTCTCCTACAATATTAATCAAACATATTCTAATCAAAAGATACGTATAAGATAATTTTGTTGGTTTCAATTAAATTGCATATTAGGAATAATTAATGTGTTTAACACATTACTACGCTTTATATTTTATAATGACCTTTTATAACTTGACTTAAGAGAAATAATAGTTTACCAATAGCTTTGCAATTTAGTAAAATTAAGCAAATTGTTTTCTTAAAAATTTCTGAAGGTATTTTGCTCACAGATTTCTTCTTGCTTTTAGGGCAACCCTGGAAATGACGGAATCCCTGGTGCCAAAGGATCAGCAGTAAGTAACACCAGAGGTGGTATTCAGCAGGTTCTGACCAGATCTGGAGAACCATTAGTGGAAATTTTGAGTAGTTCAGAGAACCGGTAGCAAAAATTCTGACTGGCCCCGCCCCCATCTATTCTCTGCTTCCTGAGTCCCAGCTGATTGGGAGGAAATGGGGATTTTGCAGTAACCTTCCCCTGGAGTGGGGAGGGAATGGAGATTTTACAGTATCCTTCCCCTGCCACACCCACCAAGCCATGCCCACCAAGCCACACCCACAGAACCGGTAGTAAAAAAATTTGAATCCCACCACTGAGTAGTACATTAGATGGATATAAAGGCAGAGCTAATTGGAGACTTTGGAAGACTTGAGGAACACTCACAGAATTTCTGGCCTAAGCTACCTATTGAAATTCTGAACATTAGCAGTGGTCTTTCTTAATAGCTTGCTGTGTCTCAATCCACCTGCATTTCTCATTCCTAACTCTGGGCTTCTCGATTCGATTAACAGGGTGGTCCTGGCATTGCTGGTGCTCCTGGTTTTCCTGGCCCACGTGGCCCCCCTGGGCCACAAGGTGCAACAGGACCTTTGGGTCCCAAAGGTCAGGCGGTAAGAAACACATATAGGGATACCGTGAAACTTGTGATGTGCCTGGTGGTCCAGATTGATTGCTCAAGATCCTGCCTCTTGCATCTGTTCTGAGATGCCTTCATTCTGGGTGATTCATATCACAAGTGCTTCATTCTGTGCCTGTTTCTGGATGGCTTCTTCTCATACTGATCTTAACCGGGATTTGGCCATGGATGGTTAAAGAACGATGTCCACCTTTTCATCAAGTTTGCCTGCTTACAGTCACTATTATAATTGTTGCCACTGGTCTATTATTTCCATAAAGCTCTATATGTGGACTTAAAAGAAGGGAGTGCAATTTTTCCTTATTTGATTGTTTCAGGGGCATTTGAAAGTGGTGAGAAATATGTTTGAGTTTCTCCAAAACCTGGAAGGCATTATGATTGATTTTTTTGCTATCCTTAGCAAAGGAGAGGGAGGGAGGAGAGAGAGAGAGAGAGAGATTTCCCTTAATCCTCTGGATCTCTGCAATTAATGGAGAATTTGGGGGAGCAGAGGGATTTTTCACTTGGGCTGGGCACGTGGCCATCAGATAGAGAACAGAAGATTGCTTTGCTTCAGTGATCTAGTATTGTAGTGCCAAAAAATGTGTGACAATATGAAGTATTTCTAAAAGAGCACAAGGAGACTGCAGAAAATGTAATTAATTCTCACTCTACGTGATTTACATTTTGGGAAGATGACAGCTGGAAAATTCAATCCTAAACAAACATAGTAAAGAGGAAACCTTCTTGCGCTCAAAGACCGACTTACTTCCAAGTTAACTCGCTTGGGATGGCATTGCTAGTCAATTAAATGTGATAAGAAATACAAGTCTATGTTTTTATAAACTAATAAAAAACAATAAGCTTTGGGGACCTGAATGGAAACCCATATGTTACTGAAGAATTCTCCAATATGAAATTATTGATCTTCTAGACATGCACCTTATATCTAAAACAGCCTCTTTACTGAAGAATCATGAAGTTCATGCAAATATCCAACATCATGATGGACTTAAGCAGCTTTAAAACAGGGAGGTCAAACTTGCAGCCCACGGGCCAGATGCGTCATGTGCTGGCCCGCCCGATTTAGCAAAGGAGGGGGGGAAATCCTGATACGTTATGTGACGACGCCGTGACAAGTTTGACACCCCTGCTGTAAAAGATTGCAGGCATACCCTGGAAAATTCATAAAAAGTACTATTAAAAATAATTACTGGTGTGTATTATATCCAAATAGGGAAATGAAGCCTATTTAAGTAACAGTGAGTTATAGGCTGAACTGAACAGGTGCTGTTACAAAACCATGGTTTGAAACTGGTTCAGAAGACATGCAAGCACAGCAACCTTCTGCTCTTCCTCAAAAACTTTTCAGCCTTCCACATGAGCCCAAGAAAAAGAAAAATTGCCAAGAGATGTTAAGTTTCCATTCATGCAAGTTCTGAAGCACTTCTGATTTTTTTTTTTTTTTTAAAGTACTCACAGCCCTATTTCAGAGCAGTCGTCTGCCATGAGCAAGACTTTGTGGGTCACTTCGACCACTTGAGTTTTGCTGGACTCTTTAGCCGTAGCAATATTTTTTTTTAAAAAAACTTTCCTATTTAAAAAATGTAGCAGAAGATAAGGAAAGTCAAATTGGTTCAAAATAGTCTCTTACCCATCTTTGGAACAAATCATTTGAAAACTTCCTGTCAGCAGATAATGCCTGTGGAAAATTTGCAGGTTTTTTTTTTTTTTTTGTGGACCTAAAGGGGGTATTTTCAGGGAAATTCTCCCCATTGTTGCTGAAGGAAGATGCTGTTCCTCCCAGTTCTCTATAGGAATTACGATTCTCTGTCCAAAGTCTGCTTCTTCTATAGTAGAAAATTCTAGGTTTCTTCCATACTCTAATGTTTTCCTTGCCTCTTTGCCTCCGGTTCCTGCCTTTTCATCTAAGGACTGAGCACCTTCTTTATTGTTAAAGCGTCCCTTGCATCTGATTCTGCTTTAAAGGTTTTGCTGGTTTGATCAGTAGGTAGCCTAAAGTGATACAGATGTTGTTGTATTCTCTTAACATTTTTCTTTCTATCTCTGTAGGGAGAGCCTGGAATTGCAGGCTTCAAAGGTGAACAAGGCCCCAAGGGTGAACCTGTAAGTAATTGATCATGTGCATGTCATTTTACGCTAGACTTGTATGCTCTCTTTTTTTACATTCTTTGTTAAAGTTTTGTTTCTACAGGAGTCCTCTGATCTGGCTAGGGAATTCTGAGGGTTGTAATCCCCCTCTCATGGTTGAAGGGCAACTATGGAGAGGGGGTTAATTTCATTGTTTAACATGCAGATATTACTACAATTCTTCTGATAATTACAATACTACTATGTTCAGAAAAGGCATATCATAAGTCATTGGGAATTCAGGCTCCGAACGGTATTTGGGGAAAGTTTATTTTCTTCCCTGATGATGCACTTGCAACTGTAATTGCATTATTATTATTATTTGCACTTGCACTTGCAAGTGCAAGTCATGCACAAGATCATGCACTTGCAACTGTAATTACATTATTATTATTTTTCAAATCCAAAAGTTTGAGAAGTGTTCAATACATTTCTTCACTATTTTTTCTGTTATAAGGGGCTTTCGTGAACAGGTAGCCTGATGTTCATAAAAATTAATGTCTATATTTTCTCTGAGCTTGCTAGATTTTTATATAAGGATGTGTTGTTTTCACAGTCCCTGTGTAGAGAAAATCAGAACAGAACAGAATAACAGAGTTGGAAGGGACTTTGGAGGTCTTCTAGTCCAACCCCCTGCTTAGGCAGGAAACCCTACACCACTATCAAATCAAATAAGCTCAATTAGGACCAAATGTACAATTGAAATCTTCTACAAAATCTGGAATTAATTGTGCAGTTTAGATTTATAGTTGTTAGATTTTTCATCTGGACAAAAGAAATGTTACATTCAACATAGGTGACTGCAATCCCATTTTCTCCACTCAGCACCAATGTATTCTTAACAAGTAGATTGGAACCAATTTATGCCTTTTTATTACTAAAAATACTTTGGGCTGCTAGAACCGCGCTACAGAAATCTAAGCAGCCATTACATGGGAGCAAAGAGGTAGCGAGATGTTTGCTATCATCTACTGGTCACCCAGATTTTCACAGCCTGGGTCTGATAGCTATCGAATGAGTGCCTGAATGAAAAGAATAATTTGTTCCTTTAAAAGCTGGATGCCAATAGGAATCTAAAGCTTTGATAGGAGAGAGGTGCTGCACACACAGGGTCCCAGGTTCAGTTGTTTTATATACTCAGTTTAATTTCCAATTAAAAAGGTCTGAGGCTGCTTATAAAGATCACCATTTGGAACCCTTGTAAAATTCCTTGCTTACGGCATATAAAAAGTTTGTTTAGTAGCAGAACTGAAAAAGAACCTTGTTCTAGGAAAGCACTAACTGTATTGGCCATGCATCTGACTCCTACAAGGATATTTCGTGTGCTTCCCCTTCTTCTTTTCCCATTTGCTCACTATCTGGTTTCAATATAGGTCCTTCCTGTGTATCTGAGGGTGGTGCGGTGGCTCAGTGGTTAAGACACTGGGTTTAGCTGGAAAACCAGTAGCCCAGGTTCAAGACCTGAGCTCCATGTGACGATGTGAGCTCCTGTCCTCACCCCCAGCTCCTGCCAACCTAGCAAATCGAAACCATACAAATGCAAGTAGATAAATAGGTACCACTTTGGTGGGAAGGTAACAGCATTCCATGTTGTAATGCTGGTCACATGGCCGCAGAAAAGTCTTTGGACAGCGCTGGCTCAATGGCCTTGAAACGGAGATCAACACCCCCGCTCCCCCCCATAGCTGGCAATGACTAGCGGAGTAAAATCCTCAGGGACTCCTGTGTATCTGAATCTTTCCAGATGAATAGTCTTTCTGGTTTTCAATCTTCTTAATCAGGTAGTCCTCATTTACTACTGTCTCTTTGCAGTTATGACAGTGATGAACTTTGCGACCAATCCTTGCATTTACAACTTTTGTAGGTCTGTAAAGCAAAGCACAGTTGTGGTTTCACTTATCTCTTCACTTAATGACCAGGTTGCCAGACCCAATTGTGGTCATTAAACAAAGATGTCCTGTATAGTTTAAACACAGGATGGATCCAGGATGTCTGGATATTTGAAAATATGTTGAGAATTAAGTTGCTTTAGGCCCAATCACAGGTACATCTTTGCAAGTCTAGAGTTCCCACACAAACAGCAGCAAAGTAGGAATCCTTTGACCAATAGCTGAGCTAAGAGAAGTGACAAACTGGCACTATGTACTTATTTCCATCTTTTCAACTGGCCCACAGAAGCATCCCTTTCATCCCTCAGCAAACATACAAGAAAATTGCTAGCATTTTTCTCCAGTGCATCATGTTTTTCTATGCATGTGTCACCTCCTTTGTTTTTTAATAAAATCTCAGAGGTATTCTGAGGTGAAACTATGGATGAAGAAGTGTATTGTTTAAAAGATACAAATAAATGAATAGAAAACCCTCAAAATCTTCCCACCCCTTCCAAAAACAACAACAACAACAACAAAACACCCTCAGCTGTTTGGAAATCCCTAACCTCCTGCAAGTCTAGCATTTCTGCACTTTGTTTCTTAATCAGGTCACTATGTGGGAACTGGTAGACTAGGTGAACCCAAACTCCCTTCCTCTGAGAGCACAGGTCTAATAGTTAAGGCAACAGGCTAGAAAACAGGAGACTGTGAGTTCTAGTTCCGTCTTAGCTATGAAAGCTGGCTGGGTGACTTTGGGCCAGTCATTCACTCTCAGGCCCACTCACCCCTCAGAGTTGCTGTTGTGAGGAAAATAGAAGGAAGATAGAGTACTAGATATATTCGCCACCTTGAGTTGATTATAAAAATAATTAAAGGATACACATGCACACAATCAAATACACACAACACTGTATGTGTGTGTGTATGTCTGTGAGTGTATATGTGTGAAATAACATTTATTGCCTTGAGATAGCATTCCTCCATCCCATGTCACTGGCATGGGAATATACCAAAATAGCTTGAATTATAACATCATGGAGCTCTATTAACGGGACTGTACTTTGGCCTGCAAGGCTTTCCCTTTCCTTTACCACTCTTTCTGTCATTTTTTAAAGACAGAAATAAAGCCTAGCTTTTTTTTTTGTTACAAAATCTCTTTTGGGGTGCATGGGGAAAACCATGGTAATTTTATTGCATTGAACTCTGCTTTTTATTCTTGATGCTGAAAGTGTGCCATGGTAAACAATGATCCATTCACCAATTTATATACTATTTTCAGATGGGTATATAAATGGCCCATTGCAGGGGTGGGCTTACTCTGTGAAGTTCTTTAGTGCCATTTATATAAAATGTTTATTATGTAGCTCATCAGCCTTCATAGATAAAATGCAGTTTTGGTATTCCAGCGACTTAAGGAATTGTCTGGCTTTCCCAGATTATACTGAACCATATTTATATGTCCTTTGTTCATTTTAGATAGCATTGCTTTTTCACCTAACTACTTCCAAAGGATGGAACTTAATTTCTGTCTAAATTAAAAATGTGTCTTCTAATTTAAAAGCATCAGTGTTAACACTGTGTTCCATGTGTATACTGCCATCTGAACAGTGAGAAATGGTAAAATATGATGAGAACTTTCAAAAGTAGCAGTTTCTAGGAAAGAAATCATTGGTATTTATGATAAAGTTATGATGCAAGTTTTATTTAGATGAATAGATAGGGTGAGTGTAAGATGAAGGGCTCAGAGCATTTATTTTTCTATAAATATTTATCCCCATCAGATAACTAGAGAAATTCAGAGCCACAAGTTTTGTGAGAATAAAGTAGCTCTTTCCATTTTCTCATTCTAATGTAGGCTGCCTTGCTACAATATGTACACACACACACACACACACACACACACACACACACACACACACACATATCATTCATCCCTTAGCTTTGATATTTAGGGATCAGAAGGTTGAGTAATTTCTACCCACCTAATAACTCCTCTTTCAAACATAATATCAGAAGGTTGGTGATGGCTATCACCATTATTAGGGCTTTGAAAAAAAATTACAATTATTGCTAATCCTTTGTTCAATCTTATGCAGCATTGCTTTAGAATACCCTCTGGATGTCTTTACTAAAGTTTTTCACTCAAGCAAAGGTTTTAGCCCATGATTTAGAACAAGGAAGGAATCACCTCTTGTCCTGCCCATACATAATATTTTAAAATTTTAATCCACCTGGTACCAATGAAAATGGCACTTGAAATAGTGAAAATAATAATGAAAACTCCCAGATCACCTAAATTCTGGGCGATGTTCAAATGTTTTTCTAAAAATACAGTGACTGTTGATAGGTTTTTGACATTATTGGATAAAAGATAAAGGAATACGAAAGGTGTAACTAAGCCTCTTTACTGTTTCTCATCCCCAGGGCCCTGGGGGACCACAAGGAGCCCCTGGCCCAGCCGGCGAAGAAGGGAAGAGAGGAGGTCGTGGTGAGCCAGGAGCTGCAGGACCAACTGGACCACCCGGAGAGAGGGTAAGTGATATCATTTGCAGGAAGTAGTCCTCTATGTGGAATGTCTCTAAGCCAGGGGTGTCAAACTCAACGTGTGGCCCACGGGTCGCTTAGATCTGGCCCACAGGCCCGCCCTGGAAACAGCAAAGTTTCCACGGTGCCTATGCCCATGGTGCTTCTGCCAGTGAAAATGGAGCCCAGGTGGGTTGCATGCGATCTCCCCAACCTCCATTTTTGCTGGCAGAGGGTTGCAGGAGGCCGTCACAGCCAAAAACGGAGCCCAGGCGGGCCACGCATAGCCTCCCCAAGCTCAGTTTTCACTGGCAGAGGGCTGCAGGAGGTTATCACGGTCGAAAATGAGTCTGGGCAGGCCACACACAGCCTCCCCGAGCTCCGTTTTCACTAGCAGAGAGCTGCAGGAGGCCATCGCAGCTGAAAATGGAGCCTTGATGAGTGACATCAAGCTGGCCACACCCACCCTGGCCACACCCCCTAGCCTACCCCCCCCCCAGGTCAAATACAACCATGATGCGGCCCACAATGAAATCGAATTTGACACCTGTGCTCTAAGCCATGTGGTGTCTCATGCGAACAACCAGACCCATATGTGTAGAGTTTAAACTAGCTACTTTATTGTTCTATGCCTATTTCACAGGAATCATTTTCAGACTAGTAGCTTGTGCCTGGGAAAGACCAAATAAGGCTCAAAGGCATTCAGGGGTTCAGATCTGTCCCTCTTGTGTTTATGTAGCAAATCTAAGCTTATTCCCTGCTTGAACCCTTCTCCCAACTGGGGCAATGGCTCTCCACTGTGCCGTAAATTCCAAGCAAAGGATTAATTAAACTCATGTTGGAAGTTGCTTAAGGTAGTGTCTTAACAGTTGATGGCCATTTTGTTGAAACTGTTCGAATAAAAGGCATCCCACCCAGTAGATAATACAAGATAATGTCACGTTAGTGACATATAAATTTTTGAGGCCATTGAATTCTGGACCCCAAAATAGCAGCCTCTTGATCTTTTAAAGATTGTAACGCAATAGCCCCGGTAGAGCGAACTCGTGTTTAAGTGTAAAAAATGTTTGGATCATTATGGCACAGATGATTTAAGAGAAAATCGTATTTGGTCAGAGCTCTTGGCCAGAGTATACAACCCTTTGTTGCTGTTAGGTACTTGTTACATTCATAGAAATAAAGTTAATGTAACTTGCTCTAAGTGGCCATGTTGCAATAGAATACACACACATCACACACTTTATACTTCCATTTCTCTTCTAGAAATCTAGGGCCATGGTGATGCGAGAGAAGAATTTTATTGTTTCCATCCTTGTTTGCTTTGCCTGGGCTATTGAAAGGGAGAAGTATGGTTGTCAATTCAACCTTTGCTTTATAGCACCTGTAGGGATATGCAGGGATTGGAAAGAGGAAAATGCCCAACGTCTTTCCAGTGGGGAAATGGCCTGCCTCACATTCTGAAGAGTACTGAGTTTTCCAATTTAAACCTTTTTTCTATTGGAAAATAAGCTGGCTCTTATGACAAGGGCAGATGCCAAACTGGCATTCCAAGAATGTACATCTGGGAATAGAAGAATAGAGATGCCTTACCGGGGTGAAATCTATTTACCTTCCCTACCGGTTCGGAAGTGTGTGTGCGTCACATGCTTGCGCGGACCCTCTGCACATCCACAAACCCTTCTGCGCCTATGCAGAGGGTAAAAAACAGGTTTTAACCAGGAAGTACCGACAACAGGCGGGTGGGCGGAGCCTCACGCTGTCATCGCTACCAGTTCTCTGAACCACCCGCCGCCATCGCTAACAGTTCGCCCAAACCGGTCTGAACTGGTAGCGTTTCACCCCTGTGCCCTACTATTTAAAATGGTCTTAGGAGCATCAAGGCTCTTCCCCTAGAACAGGTTATATTATTTAGATCTGGAACAAGATATTTCTTGTGTATAGTAGTTATAGTATTAGTGCACTCCCCAGCGATGGTAGCAGTAGTGGGTTGCTCCCGGTTTGCACCGTTTCGCAAGAACAAGTAGTAAAAATTTCTAGTAGTTCGGAGAACTGGTAATAATATTGGCTGGCCATGCCCCCGAACTGGTCCCCAGCCCAGTCACTGCTCGCTTACCCCACCCACCTCATTTTTTTTTTTTTACTTTTAAAAGCATTTTTTCTACAACCTCTTCAGCCGAAAAATGCTTTTAAAAGTAAAAAAAAAAAGCCTCTGATGATCACGCGGCTCAGTTGGGATTGTCAGAGGCTTTTAAAAGTATTTTTTCTACAACCTCTTCAGCCGATCCCAGCTGAGTTGCCTGATCATCAGAGGCTTCTAAAAGCATTTTTTTCTGTAACCTCTTAAGGCTGTAGAAAAATGCTTTTAAAAGTAAAAAAAAAAAAAAGTTGGCCACACCCACCCAGTCACATTACCCTCCCACCAAGCCATGCCTACAAAATAAGCCACGCCCACAGAACTGGTAGTAAAAAATTTTAGAACCCACCCCTGGGTGGTAGCCTACTGAGAGTTCTTGCTTCTGCTGTGTCCTTGTTCTAAAAGAAGTGGTCCAGAGTTCCTGCTGAATCTTTGATAATGATGATTCTGTCCTTGACTTTGACATTATTATTTTTTGCTTTCAGGGTTCCCCTGGAAATCGTGGTTTCCCAGGTCAGGATGGATTAGCTGGGCCCAAAGTGAGTGAGTCCAAAGAACTTGCTGCCTTTTCATAACAATTTTTTAAAAATAGAAAAATGGTACTGTTTTTTTTTTTCTTTGTGTTCTTTGACTGTTTTTTTTTCTTTCTATTCCTATTGACAAATAGCAATCTGAATTATGAAAATGGTGTTCTGTGTTTCCTTTAAAAGTCTCCTGGCTCGTGCATTCTTTCATAGAAAACATAGTATGCACATTTTGGACATGCCATAAAATATCTTTAGAATCAATTTATTAACATTTTTCTTTGGAAAAGTTCACCACCTCATCCTTTTCATAGATGTATAGTGTTTAGGATAGGGGTGAGCAATCCTGAGGAGTTTTACTTCCAAAATCCATAATTTACCAATTGGATTCGGATGCAGAAGACACGCATTTAGAAAGAAGAAATCCCAAATTCAGTATAAACTAAAGAATTAACTTCTTTCATTGTCCTTTGTTGTTTCATAAAGTTCTTTCATAAAATTCTAAGTTCTTTCATAATCATTGTGGGAGAACTAGTGCGGTGTGGTAGCTTAGCTACTGAAGTAGGATTGAATAAGACACTTAGGACAAGGCTCAGCCTTAGAGTCAGTTCATTGAGTAAATTTGGACTGGTCACTTCCATCCTATCTCACTATTTTGTTATCTTTGGGGTGGGGGTGGGGGAATTGGAGGAGATAGTGCTGGGTATACCAAGTCGAGCTCCTGGAAAAAAGGTAGGAGAGAAATCTACTGACTGAATAAAATCCATTTGTGGTTACTACGGTCTTTCGTAATATAGCTTGAGGAGGAATTGTTTTACTACAGATGTAGGTAAATCATTAAGGGTTAGGATGCAGATATATTGCAAACTTAGTTTATCTTCTGCTCACCCCTTCTATTTTTTTTTTAGGACGTCAGAATAATTAAATGAGTTTTAAACCTCTTTAATATATACAGGTAGCCCTTGACTTACAACGGTTCATTTAGTGACCATTCAAAGTTACATCACTGAAAAAAGTGACTTATGAGTCTGACTGTTTTTCACACTTACAACTGCTGCAGCATCCCTTTGGCCACGTGGTCAAAATTCAGATGCTTGGCAACTGGTTCATATTTACGACGGTTGCCGTGTCCCGGGGCCAAGTGATCCCCTTTCGCAACCTTCTTGACTAGCAAAGTCAATGGGGGAAGCCAGATTCACTTAACAACCATGTTACCAACTTAACAAAATGCAATGATTCACTTAACAACTATGGCAAGAAAAGTCATAAAATAGGGCAAAGCTCACTTAAGAAATGTTTCATTTAGCAACAAATATTTTGGGCTCAGTTGTGGCCATAACTCAAGGACTACCTGTATAATGTAGGCATGTCCAGAGTGATGGTAGATTATTGGGCCAAATACTATATTTTCCTGGTATCCTTCATTAAAATCTTCAGCTAATGTATTTCTTGCTTAAATCTTCTTTAAATAGGGTGCTCCTGGAGAACGTGGCCCTCCTGGCCTTGGGGGACCCAAAGGTGGCCCTGGAGATCCTGGACGACCTGGAGAACCTGGCCTGCCTGGTGCCCGGGTAAGAATGTGGAATTGAATAAGCCATATAAAAGTGATGCCCCCAAAGGGTGAAGAACAATTAGTCTAGGGATTCCCGCATCACTGTGGAAGAATATCACTGAGAAGGCCTGTCTTCTTAGTATTGGTACTATTTATATAAGTGAATCAAGTCTGCTTATAAAACATGTGCAGTAATACATCTGAAACACAGATGGTGTCAAGTAGTAGAAGACATTCTTTTTCTGTAGAGAAACAAAAAGCATTCACACTGCTGTGGCTCCAGGTTGGGTTTATACAGATGGATTAAAGCATCTCTAAAGAATTGGGTACTTTTTGCTTTGAGTTTTTTTGCTTTGTTTTTTAAAGGAAGGGGTTATGCAAACACTCCTTGTTTAGCACCTGCCTCGTTTAGCAACCAATCCTCACATTTATGACCTTCCGAAGCAGGTCTGTAAAGCAAAGAAAAGCTGAAGTAAGATCAATTACAAGCATAGTTACAGTTTCACTTAGTGACTGCTTCACTTAACAACTAAGTTGCCAGACTCAATAGTTATTGTTTAATGAGGGCTGTCTGTAAGAGGCAGTGTGGAGGTGTTTTGCATTTTGTATCTGATTAAAAATATACTAGGGTATATAATGCCTGGTGCAACTTCAGAATGAAATAACGTCATGTCAACCTGTATACCTCTTCTTTGCTTTATTTCATTGCATGCTACAGTTGATGGACACTGCAGTTATGTTCACTACCATCTGAAGTTATTATTATTATTATTAGAATTAGAGGAGAGCAGAAGCCTATACATACTTGTAGTGTAGTAGAGCAATTTAGATATGAAGTGTAAGTAACCACTAGATGGCATCAAGTGGATACAATAATTTTTTTAAAATTTTCCATTTTTTGCAGCTCAAATATGCTAAGGCAGTTTTGTGGCATCCATAATTCTCAGAGCTTCCAGATTAAGTTTTGTGTCCATAAAGGTCCCTGTTTGAACAATCTTGACTCAGAAAAGTTCTGCAGGAAGGACCAGGTTTAAATGTGTAGATCTGCCCCATTTTCAGTGCCAGGTGTGAGTTAGAATGAGTGACTGCTTGAAACAGACAGAAAAAAGTTATGAGCGGTTTGACTGTAGCAATTGCAGCTGTATCTGTATTTACAGTGGTAACACAGGATCATTTTTATTTGTGATTTCTTTTGATCTGTCACTTAAAATGCTATACTCTTTTGGCTAGACAAAGATGCCAAGAGTTGCTTTGAAAAGTGAGATGGGTGGCATGATAGATAGATAGATAGATAGATAATAGATAAATAGATAGATAGATAGATAGATAGATAGATAGATAGATAGACGATAGATAGATAGATAGATAGATAGATAGATAGATAGATAGATAGATAGATAGATAGATATAGATGATAGGTAGGTAGGTAGGTAGGTAGGTAGGTAGGTAGGTAGGTAGGTAGGTAGGTAGGTAGGTAGATAGATAGATAGATAGATAGATAGATAGATAGATAGATAGATAGATAGATAGATAGATAATGGATGGATGGATGGATGGATGGATGGATGGAAAGAGAAAGAAAGGAGAAAGAAAGAAAAAGAAAGGAAGGAAGGAAGGAAGGAAGGAAGGAAGGAAGGAAGGAAGGAAGGAAGGAAGGAAGGAAGGAAGGAAAGGAAGGAAGAACAGGTTCTACAGTCTTTCAGCCAGTTATCTTGGCCATATTGCTTCAGCTATTGTTCCTAAGGCTTGAGACGATGAAAGCACTGGGTAAATTAACATCAGAATTAATTTTCTTGGCCACACTTGAAGAAGTCCGAAACAAGATAGTTTCTTAAGTTAAATTAAGTTAAAATTAAATTAAGTTAAAATTAAGATAAATTTACTTTTTTCCTCTTCTTACTAGGGTCTCACTGGTCGCCCTGGGGATGCTGGTGCTCAAGGCAAAGTTGGCCCATCTGTAAGTGAAATTCTGTACTTTTCTTCTTGTGGCATGCAGAATATTTGAGAACATGGTTAAGATAGACGAATATGATGATAAAATGAGGCAGTACTGCAAACATTTCCTTTGCGTTAACTTGTGTGGAAAATTAAAATACTGAAGTTGGATTTAAAGCTGTGACCTGCATCACATACTACAGTAAGCCGTTGTTTGCTTACACATAGTTTATTGACTAAACCACACACAGCCATATTTCCACAACGTAATAAGTCATATGACATGATTTATAAACCATATTGGGGGCTTTAAGCCAATATAGTAAGCCAATAGCCTGTAGTACGTGAACCCTGGTTGTGATTGTGATGGATGAAGAAAGGGGTAGCAACAGAAATCTATATATATTTACATGAAAATACGTGTTTCAATGCTTGATGAATCAATTGTTGTTATTCTTAATATTCTGATTAGTGAGGTGTGTATTCTGCCTTGCTGCCAGGTCAGCTTATAGGGGATCTATTATTTGTTTGATCCCCACAAAAGCAGATTTGTGCGTAGGTTGGGCTAAGAAAATGTATCTAGTATAATTCCTTAGATACTAGTGGCTTAAAATTTGCAACTTCCTAGCCCGTAATCCAACAATTTTACCTCTAGACCAGAGTTCCCCAAAGTTTCCGGCTTTGTGGACTGGCGGGGTGGCAGGGGGAAGGGATGGTTTGTAAAAGCGACCGGCAAGTGTGCATGTGCATGCACAGCTCCATTTACGCGAGCGATATGTCTACCTCTCACACAAATGGAGCTCAAGTAAGTATGTGCATGCGCTCGCCTGCTGTTTCCATGGCCCAGTTGCAAACCCCTCACAGCCCACTAGTGGGCAGTGGTCCATAGGTTGGGGACCCCTGCTCTAGACTACAATAACTCTTTGAATACTTTCATAGGGGAATTGATCCCATCACTGTACAACAATCAGCATGAAGAGTGAATGAATATCATTATATATAGGGACCAATTTTACACTGACCTATTAAAACCGGTTAATAAAATAAACAGCCTCTTTTCCAGGCCAAGTTAACATTTCTACGGAGCTAGGTCTGTAGTGTTTGCCATTTACCAGTTTTAGCAGTGGATGCCTATACCTTTCTCCCTCTCTATAGGGTACTCCGGGTGAAGATGGACGGCCTGGCCCACCTGGTCCTCAAGGTGCTCGTGGTCAGCCTGGTGTCATGGGTTTCCCAGGCCCCAAAGGTGCTAATGTAAGTGAAGCTGTATTTGACTCTTAGAAGCAGGGCCCAGGCAGGTTTGAAGGGAAATAGGGAGCAGATCTAACATTTGGGCAGCTAACAGAAAGGTCTCTTGAGTTCTCCAACTTAGTCAACATTTCCCCTTATTTCCCATACTTTTTCTGCTCTCCCCAATTTGGGTAGTTACCGTAGTCCTTTTTTAAAAATACGATTTTGTTACATTTTGAAAGCACGAATAAAAAGTAAACAAGCAAGAAAAAAGAAAGAAACTGGAAAGGAAAGAATCAACCAAATACAAGATAAAAGTGTGGAAAAAGGAAAGGGGAAAAAAAGAATGGCTTCTGACTTTCTTTGATACAGCTATAGATAAGAAATACAACCAAATTTTATTTAACAATAAAAACAATCTAAAATTAACAATAGCCTACATTACTTCTATAATCCCATATGATTTAATTATCAAATCCCAAAATCAAAATTATGTTTCTTTTAATTTCTCGCAAAAATTAGTTTATTAACAACTCACCACTGTTGCTTAAACAACAACCAAATAACTCTTCATTACATACCTCACCCTGTTTTCTATAAACTCATGTTTAAACCTTCAGCTCTCCTTATTAATCAGCAGAGTTTTAATATAAATGAACAAAAATACCTAATAACATAAATGTATAGCCCTCTTTTCCATTTACTCTGGGTTTTCTTTCTCTCTCTCTCTTAACAATAAAAACATTACAAAAAAGAAATGAAGGATTTAACATTACCAGAAAATAATCACTCCTTAGTTAGATAACAAAGATTATCCCATTAGACATTTCCAAAAAAAGTGCACTATTTGGTCCAGATATTTATTCAACATCACCAGAAATAGGAATTAATTATTTAACCATAATCAGATGGTTTACCTGATTTTATATTTTTCCCCTTTTTCTCCCAACTATGCTTAAGTCCTGTAAATAAAAAAATTGTCTCCTGGTTTCTTCTCATTTCCTCTTCTCCCAGGTACAGTAGTTACTGTAATCACAAATGAAGGCAAATAGTTAACTGTAGTCCTATAAAACACTATATCAGTGGAGAAAAGGTAGGATAGGAGGACACAGAGTTTGAGATGTAGAGGGTCTCCAGGTGGATCTTTTATCTTTCGTAAAATGTGCTTATAAGTTATTTTGTTCATCTTTCTATTTAGGGTGAAGCTGGTAAAGCTGGTGAGAAGGGACTACCTGGTGCTCCTGGACTACGAGTGAGTTTATTCTCTGTCCCTCTACCGTTAAAAATTGTTTAAATACTTTCTCTAAAAAGTTAAATAACACAGCCACACCTTGTAGTAAAAAATAACTCATATCATCTCAAAGAAGAGCCCATCCTCTTCTTGCCTTCTTACTCCACATCTGTATAAGGCAGATGTTAGCGGAGATCCTAAGAACTGAGATGCAGTGATGAGAGGCTTTGGGAAGTAATTCTCACGACCAACTATGCAAACAAATCAGTGCTGTGGCACAGAAGCACATTAAAACTAGTTATACAAACTTAGTGTTGCGTTTTTCTCCATGTAAGTAAAACTGTTCTTTGTTCTTTTAAGTTTCCCACAAATGTATTCACAAGGATGCTCATCAATCCAATTTCTAACAATGAAACATTAGTTTGCTAGAATTATCTGGAAAGGCATGCAGAACCTTGAACTATTTTGAAAAATAATTTTGTTTGTTCAGAGTTGCACTATTGGAAGACTCATGCACATAATAAATATGCATATGCTTTAGAAGCCTCAAAATATAGATGCATGTCTCTTTCCTTTCTTGAACATTTCACTTATGTACAGAGCAGCCAATGCACACATGTACAGTGTTGAAGTGCATCTGTGCTACCCTTCTATAATTGCTAGGTGCACACACTGGAGTGCCTGCTACCTTCAGCAAGGAGGGGCAAGAAGGAACAATCCTAGATTTTTCCAAAAGTTACACATTTTACTCCATTTTGACAAACCTTGACATATTTGTCTGACCAAACATTTTTCTCTTTGAGAATTATTAAAAGTACAGCATGTAGAAATTCCAGAAATATGTATAAAAATCCCCAAAGGACGGTCTTCTTTTTCTTTTTCTTTTTCTTTTTCTTGTTCTTGTTCCTATTCCTGTTCCTGTTCCCGATCCTCCTCCTCCTCCTCCTCCTCCTCCTCCTCCTCCTCCTCCTCTCCTCCTCCTCCTCCTCCTCCTCCTCCTCCCTCCTCCTCCTCCTCCTCCTCCTCCTCCTCCTCCTCCTCTTCTCCTCCTTCTTCTTCTTCTTCTCTTCTTCTTCTTCTTCTTCTTCTTCTTCTTCTTCTTCTTCTTCTTCTTCTTCTTCTTCTTCTTCTTCTTCTTCTTCTTCTTCTTCTTCTTCTTCTTCTTCTTCTTCTTCTTCTTCTTCTTCCCCTTCCCCTTCCCCTTCCCCTCCTCCTCTTCTCAGAGCAAGGAATGTTGACTGTTTTTATTCTGGGGTAATGGAAGGAGAATTGACAGTGATCAATGATGGCTTTTTGTCTGCACTGCTTTCTCTCAGGGTCTTCCTGGCAAAGATGGTGAGACAGGAGCAGCTGGACCACCAGGACCTGCTGTGAGTATTTGTTTTCTTTTTATTTTTGAGAAGAGTATGCCATTTACACATTACCTAGATACAAGTATTACAGAAAGGAGGCAAAATCAAAATCCTATCTTTTCCTACGTTTAGGGAGACTGAGCCTTTATGAGGATTGGCGGGATTTCCTTTTGGCTTGTTACGATCAGAAAGTGTTCACTCAGAAGATTATTTAAGCATTATTTAAGTCAATTAGTTGCGTACAATATTAGTTTCTCATTCATTCTCTTTTATTTGCAGGGCGGGTATTCTGTATGATTTCTTTATTACATTTATAGCTATTTTTTTTCCTGTAAACATCTCAAAGGGTCACATCTTGTTTTCTTCATACTCCACTTTATCCTTGCAAAAGTCTTGTGGGATAGAATAGTCTGAGAGTGACCCATGTTCTTTCAATATGCAGATGAATTTTAATCCAGTCTCCATAATTCATCAGGTGTTGAGCCCTCCGCAGTAGAACGTCCATTTCTATTGCTCATGTTTGCAAATTCTGTGGTTTTGCTATGAAAAATACGAGAAGAGCTCTAACTTTTGGATAGAATGTGAATTTTGCAGCCAAGTGGGAAATGAAGCTGTGGGAGAAGATGGTGATGATCACAGCAGAACCACAGAATTCATTAGTAATGAGTAATAGAACTTGGCGTTGTACTGCTGAGGACTCAACACAATAGTTACACAAAGAACATGTAACTAGATTGAAATTCAGGAATTTCCAATAGCTTAGTAGATACATTGATGGTGGGTGGTCCATTATGGAAGAGAGTATGAACCCATTTAATAAGACATAACTATAAGTAATCTTTAGGTCATCTCTGATTTTTGCTTACATGAGTTATATCTCTCCACTTCTTGTTAGACTCACAGTGTTGTTGTTGTTGTTATTGATGATGATATTTGCAGGGGGCTGTTGGAGAGAGAGGTGAACAGGGTGCCCCTGGACCATCTGGATTCCAAGTAAGTACAGAAATTCTATTTCAAGCCTTTACTACCATGCTGGAGAACATCACCCCACCCCACCCCACTCCAGCCCTAGCAAGTAAATCTGCTTGTGCAGGGAAGTATAAATAGACACAGGCAGAAGGAAAAGACTATCCAATTCCTGCTGAAAGCACATGAAATCTGTCTATAATATTGAGTTTTATTTGTTCCTCAAGGATGTATAGATGTTTTCAGGGTTGCATTTGTTGACGATAACTTCCTGCTAACATAATTTTATCAGGTACTAGGGAGGCAACAAGGAAAGTACTATTTTTATTTAGTCTGTCTATCACCTCTTTTCCTGGATTCCTGGCATATCCCAAAGGCTATTTGTCTCACGGTTTGCACAGGAAAAAAAAACTCTGGAAGAAAGAATGAATGAATGAATGAATGAGGCTGAATTGGGGTTATATATTAATCAGAGGTGCTCAGGTAGGCAGATGTAGTTTTGTTGCAGATGTTTGAGAGCCACAACAGGAATGTATCCATAGTTGTCCCATCATCTAGGTAAGGGGATACTATTGTCCAATCTAGTTCATGTTTGATGGTTAACTAATGATTATTTCTTTGGATCTAAAAATCCTCTTTCCTGCACTGGTTCCATTTAGCTGGGGTAGGATGTTACTTCTCGAAGAGGATGAAGTGAGACTTTCTAATACCAAAATAACCTCTTGATTTCAGGGACTTCCAGGCCCCGCAGGCCCTCCAGGTGAAGGTGGAAAACCAGGTGACCAAGTAAGTAATAAATATCAATCCCCATTTAGTACATACAACATAGATACTTACCAGTCCGACATGCATTCTTTCCTACATCTTTTCTATAGGTTCAAAATAGTAGATTGAATTTTCCATTGAGCTTGAGGATAATATATGTACTGTACATCTTTCAGAACGCACTAGTTAAATAGTCTCTAATCATTGAAAGGGTAGTGGTCAGGTGCAACAAAAGAATTCTTCTGAAAAAAGCAACTTTTTGATGGGTGGGGTGGTAACTTGGTCCCTCCTGATCCCGATGGATTATAAATTATTAATTAGCAGCTAAGCCAAACAATAGGATTGCAGAATTCTGCAGTGAAGCTGAGAGGAGTTTCTTATGATATCATTTTTCTGATGAAAAAAATATACTTCATGAAGTGTATTAGTTTGCACTGGGCATTCTGTGTTTGCATGCTGAATATCCCCAGGCTGATAAACTAGTGTCTGTAAGGGATAATATCATAGAGGTTGGAATGGACTGTAGAAAGCATTTCGTTCAATCACCTGCTCAATGCAGGGTCTACTAGAAAATCTGCTAGATAACCATCCAACTTATGCTTGAAGCTCTCTAGAAAAGTTAACTGAGTTTGAATGTAGACGCAGTGTGGGGTTTATCTGGCAGCAATCAGAAAAAGCTTGTGGATGTTATATCAGAAATTAAGATTTATGGGTAACATTACTGATATATAATGCTTCCAGTTTTGAGTGTGGTGATGGAGGAAGAGTAATAATAATAGAATAATAAAGCTCATCCTCATAATGACATCACCAGCAGAAGAATTAAACAGAATGTTGACTAAAATGTCCCCTGAAAAGCTGCTTATATTTAACCAACAGATTTTCAGTATGAACAGTAAATTAGATGTTTCAAGGTGCCAAGGAACTTTCTGCTACTCCTAAATAGAAATTACGAATCATTGCTGATATATTCAGTAGGTATTCAGTGCAGGAAGCAATATACATCACTCCAAAATGCTGATATTTGACTTTCGGGTATTCCTAGAACCACTTAACATATTTGTAATAATAGACAGAATCATCATATTGATCAAACTTTTCAACCATGGTCGTGTGTGATCAGAAACACAAGCAATATCTCCAGAATATAATTCTCATTATGACTTTGCCTTGTAGAGGTTTCTTTTCCCTCAATATGACCTTAAAAGCAGTGGTGGGATTCAGCCAGTTCGCACCTATTTGGGAGAACCGGTTGTTAATTTTCTAAGCAGTTCAGAGAACCGCTTGTTTTTTTTCCACTTTACAGGGCTAATCCTGTAAGGAAGGCAGGAAGGAAACATTCTGGTGTTTCTAGCCTAATCTTTATTGCCCTGCTTACAGAAACTGCCTCTCTGGTTAATCCTTATTACATTGTAACAGCTAAGGTGTTACAATGTGAGTGATGTTGAGTTGGACACGCCCACACAGTCACATTACCACCGAGCGATGCCTACTTAGCTGGTCATTAGGGCAGAGAACCAGTTGTTAAATTATTTGAATCCCAACACTGCTTAAAAGTAATGTTTAAAAGTGAAAAAGCTGAAAAGATGTTCATCCAAATTAAAAGTTAATGTGTGAGTTGAATTATTCTTCACCTGGATCTATGGATTTTGTTTTTTTAGCTTGCCATATTTCTTAATGGCTAATAGGGAGACGTGCAAGTTTTAGGAAGGTACGTTAGTAGCTTCTTCCCCTCTCCTGTTTTTAACTCTTTTGTTTTGTTTTCAGGGTGTTCCTGGAGAAGCTGGTACTCCTGGTCTCGTTGGTCCCAGAGTAAGTCACCTACAGTTCAATTTGAGCCCCTGAACTTACTCATGAGCTGCTGAAACAGCAGCTTGGCTCACTACTTATCTGTATAGAATCTCAATGGCACTAAGGAAAATCTCTCCTTTCTAGGGTGAACGTGGCTTCCCAGGAGAACGTGGACCTGCAGGTGCCCAAGGCTTGGCTGGTGGCCGAGGACTTCCCGGTACCCCTGGTACTGATGGACCCAAGGTAGGCTGCTTTTTTGCCTTATTTTCTTACTCTGTAATGAAGCTGATAGGTTTTGCCGCCTAGTGGCTGCCAACCCTCCCCCCCCCCCCCACAAAAGGCATTGGACTCTTCCCCAGCCTGGTGCTCACCAGAAGTGTTTAATCAAATCCCACAATGCTTTGGTCAGTGTGGATTGGATGTTGAAATCCAGCACATCTGGAAAGCACCAGGTTGGAGAAGACCACTTCAGTTCTCTGCAATTTTTTGCCAGGTTTGCCATTGCTTCCCTTCTAGGGCTGAGAGAGAGATAGCCTGGCCCAGGATAACCTAGCTGGCTTTATGCCTAAGGCAGGACTACAACTCCCACGTCCTAGCTTGTTGCTTTAACCACTACATCAAGCTGGCTGTCCTTTGACTATTATCTAGTGCAGTTCCATGTTGTAACCTATAGCTTTTCTTCCCTAGGGTGCAGCTGGTCCTGCTGGGCCTCCTGGAGCCCAAGGCCCCCCAGGTCTGCAGGGAATGCCTGGTGAGAGAGGAGCTGGAGGTATTCCTGGACCAAAGGGAGACAGGGTAAGTAGTAGCAATTTTCCATAAAATTTCATAGCACCATATTTTCAAGAGTTGGAGTTGCTGTTTTTTTTTTTAAAGTGTTGGGTTTTGTTTAGTTGCTTATAATGTTTTTTTTTAATTCCCCCCAGTTTCCTGTGTTTTTTTCCCCTTTAGTTTTTTTTTATTCTTTCTATAATTTAATGAAATGTTTTTAAAATATTTCTTCATTTAAAAAAAAAGGTTAGGTGTTTTAATTATGGATTTATATTTACAGTGGCATTATAGTAGCATAGAATGGAATGGAATGGAACAGAATAGAATAGAACAGAACAGAACAGAACAGAACAGAACAGAATTCTTTATTGGCCAAGTGTGATTGGACACACAAGGAATAGTTATATTGCTGTTTAATTTGTATGTTTTTTAAAAATAATAACACTATGTTTTTTTAAATAAATGTTGTCATTTTTCTTAAAGTTTCATAAAATTAAATAATAAACAGCAGAAAATCGCAATCTAAGGGATCAGAGTTCCAAGTTGATATGGGCTACTTACAGTCATTATTTCTTTGGTATTTTCTCAACAGGGTGATGCTGGTGAGAAAGGCCCAGAAGGTGCTCCTGGCAAAGATGGCAGCCGAGTATGTCCACAGCAGAAATCAGTTTCTCTTCTCTTAAGGCAGCAACATTTTTAGTTAATGAAATAAGTGGATGGCTGGTGGGGAGGGGGAATATGTAACATATTGGTCTATAATCCTAGACTTTCGTTAGCGCCAAGCTCCAGAGAACCTTGACAATAACTATTAATCTAACAGAGAGCTTAATTAAAATAGATTAAACTGCAGGATATTCTAATACTGTTAAAGCTGGGGTGTGCTTGCATGTGTGTTTATGTCTATGTTGGTGTGTGTGATGAAGCTTCTCTTACTGAGTGAGATATTCTTACTGAGCAAGTCTTCTCGCCCTTTTCAGAGTCAGCCCTCCTTACCATCCAACCACCCTTAGATAATTTACTCCGGTGTTGTCCTGTGTTTTCTTTAGGCAAGAGGATACAGTCTGTGATGGTAGCACCTTGTTTTCTCCAATGGAGAGAAGACCCAAATCCCTAATCAAGGATCAATTTTTAAAAAAGGCTTAGTTAAGGTTTAAAGCTTTAGAATTAAGTCATAAGTGCTTAGCTTGCTAAACTGTAACCCCAATATGGGACAAAGGCATAAGGGGTCCATTGCCCAGTGTGTTCAATGAAGGCACATCGGCAATGGACCCAAGTATTGAATTGGGACAATACTCCAGGAAGATACAGGCTGTGGTGGTAACATCTCATCTTCTCCTTTATGGAGGAATGGCAGCAGGAGGTGGGAGCTTTTATGGACAACATCCTGGACTCCCAATCAAAGCCTTTTATTTTCATGCTGTTCTGACCTAGGCTTCCCAAGATCATGAAGCAGGCTCCTCATCCCGATAAAACCTCTTTTATTTAGATTAAATTGAATTCCCCTCCCGCAAAGTCCCTGCAAACAGTCTTTCATGAAATTTCACAACTACAGACCTTTATCAGGCTTGGAGAATGGCCAGGCCGATATCTTCCAAATGCCTGTAGTAGCAATTACTTGGCAAGAAGTCAGGAACAGATCTTCACCCTAATGAATTGAACTTAATTGTCTCCTGCAAACTCCACTCCCCTTTCGCTCCTTTTTATTCCCTATGGGAGGGGCCACTCACCGTCCACCTGTGCCTTTACTCCTGAGTCGGCCCTTGTTCCTTAGCTGTTCCCTTCTCCTGGCAAGCGCAAACTCTGTGCATGCGCACATCGGGAACAGGCTCCAGCTGGCCTCATCTCTGCCTCCGACGCAGAGCACTTATCAGAACCTTCCCCAGATTCCAAAACTGGCCCATGTTCCTCCCCAACCTCCTCACTATCTGAGTCAGCCATCAGCTCCGTTGGCGGGCCACAACACATGTTTTCCAATATGCTGAACTAGATGGAGGATCGAAGTTGGCCATGAACAGGATTTAGTTCCCAAATCTTGTTCAGTATTTTACTGCCATGGTGATGTTGCAGCTGAATGGCCTCTGTTCATTCCTTAACTGTATTAGATAACGCGATATGGAAGGACACAGAGGCAGGAAGGAACCATGGTGGACTCAGACCGAGATCCAAACCCACATACTGTGGTTGAAATGCTAACAGTATTAAATTAGAAAAAGGCTGGGAATAACTAGCTAAGAAAAACGTTTATCGTTCTATTTTCTAGTGGGCCATTAGATCAAGCGGAGGAACACTGATGGCGCTGTAGAAAAATCAATATAACTTGATTGAAGCATTGTGTTTTGTGCAATTTACGTGTGTGGAATGGCTTTGAATTGTAAAATAAAGGCAGATTCAAGGAAAAAGGGTGAAATGGATGAAGGAAGTCACTAGTTTGATTTGGACCTATTTTAATTTAATAGGTGAGGATATGAACACAAGGTTGGGATACCTTTGATCTTGCTTTGTATCAGCATATCTAACTCTTTATTTTCTCCATTGTCAGGGCTTGAGTGGTCCCATTGGTCCTACCGGTCCTGCTGGCCCTAGTGGAGAGAAGGTAAGAGGTCCTGTCTCTTGTTAGGTCATGTGGCAGGTAGACAGCTAGAGGCCACATGTAAGTTCTCTAAATAGTTCTGCTTCGACAGTAATGTTTCAGGGGTGGGTTCTACTTACTTTTACTACCGGTTCGCAATTGATCGCACGTGCGTGCTTCGCTCTCACATGCGCATATCGCCTATGATGACATCCGGGGCAGTGGGCGGAGCCTCCTGATGGTTTTACTACTGGTTCTTGCGAACCGGTCCGAACCGGGGGCAACCCACCACTGTAATGTTTCCTATCACCCGGCATTGAGAATTTGGGGTGTGACTGTGGATTAGCAATAGCACTTAGACTGATATGTAGCTTCACAGTGCTTTACAGCCCTCTCTAAGCAGTTTACAGAGTCAGCCTATTGCCCCCAACAATCTGGGTCCTCATTTTACTGACCTTGGAAGGATGGAAGGCTGAGTCAACCCTGAGCCGGTGAGAATCAAACTGCTGGCAGTTGGCAGAATTAGCCTGCAGTACTGCATTCTATCCACTGCGCCACCACAAGTCTTTTTAGAGTGCCTTAATAGCTATTTCTATGCCTTTGAGGAGCCTTGGAAACTATTCTTTATGACAAAAAGTATACACGGAACAGTAAACACAATAAGAAATCACATTAGCTATGCTTTATGACCTAGATCCAGAGAGATGAGGAAAACATGGGGGAGGAAGTATCAGTTTGGTTTCATAAGTTTAGAGCTGTACTGATAACCCTATCATGTTTACATTGATGGACTTATTGACTTCTTGTGCATCTGAATTTCCTTGCTTCCCAGGGTTTAGGAAGAAACCAGAATCAGAAGTTCTAGCAATGAGGACTATTCAGTAGGAAGAACACGTTGCTAATGATCTATTTACTTTGGCTCTTTTGTTGTCCTGCTCAGTGGAATCCATTTATCTTCTATCCTTAGTTAGTTTGGCTGGTCTCCACAGTGTATGCAACTCTCAGCCAGTTTCCCCCTACTATACCAACACTGTTTACAATACAATCGTGACATGAGCAAGAATTGTCTTCTTGTTCTTAATTCCTTATGGTGCCCAATGGTTTATTGCTGAGCACATTGTAAGCCGCCCTGAGTCTTCGGAGAAGGGCGGCATATAAATCAAATTAAAAAAAAAAAAAAAAGTTGCTCTGTTAAATAAACTAACTATCGAAATATTAAAAGTGTAATTATACAGTACAGGTCGTCCTCAATTTACAACCGCAATTCAGCCCAGAATTTATATTGAAATTTGTTAAGTGAGTTTTGCCCCATTTTACCACTTTCCTTGCCACATTTCTTAAGTGAATCACTGAAGTTGTTAAATTAGTCACACGGTTGTTAAGTGCCTTCCCCATTGTCTTTGCTTGTCAGAAGGTCGCAAAAGGGGATCACGTGACCCCGGGACACTGCAACCGTCATAAATATGAACCAGCTGTCAAGCATCCAAATGTAAATCACGTGACCATGGGGATGCTGCAACGGTCATAAGTGTGAAAAACAGTCATAAGTCAGTTTTTCTCAGTGCCGTTGTAACTTCGAACAGTCACTAAACAAGCTGTTGTAAGTCGAGGACTACCTGTTAATGCGTCTTCTGATCATATTAAGAAAACTCAGCACCATTCATCCTACTAGCCATTTAATCCCATATTGTGTTCTGAGCTACCGCCTTTGGCAATGGCGGAAGAGACTCTCTTTCAGCAACAAACACTCCATGATCTTATTTTCATCTTCTTTCTGTCCCTGCAGGGTGAATCAGGTCCCCCTGGCCCAAGTGGAGCTGCTGGTACTCGGGGTGCCCCTGTAAGTTTGCTCTCGTTGTGAAATCTTCCAGTGAAGTTTGTTGGGGTGAATGGGGGAAAGAGATTCAGGCTGGCCCACATCATTATAGAAATCCTAATAGGAAACTATTGAAACTCCTATGGGTAGCATAGGGACAAATGTAGATGTACTTTTATGGAATTGTTTCCCATATGAAGAGAAAATTGGCTCCCTTTCCCCCCAATTGCACTATGTAGAGATCAACTCGGAAGGCTCTGGCTGTTCTGATTAGCATCTACCAGTAGAAAAGCCCATTAGAGACTAGCTGATAATTCATGAATTTCTCCAAGCTGTAGAAAGGAAAAGCTGCTCACTCTTGTTATTAATGCAGAATAGCAACAGTGTCTAAAAAAGAACACCACAGTGCTGCAGAGCTACCCTGTGGGCTGTTCTGAAAAGATAATTTGCAAGATCTCCGAGAATATCTTAGGAAACAATGTGTTCCTAAACAATTGCTTTATAATGTCTGAGCCATAGGAAGCATATCTGTTGGGTCACAGCAGCCTTATTACAGATCCCATTGTCTGTGGAACAGCTGGAGAGATCCTATCCCCGGACTAGCCTCTAGAAAACAGAACTGCCCCTGCAGCTAAAGAAATTGGCCAGCTATGGTGTGGTTGAGGTCTGTGACTTCGGTTCCTTTCCATTCCCGACTGCTCTTTCTGTTTTAGGGTGAGCGTGGAGAAACTGGACCTCCTGGCCCCGCTGGGTTTGCTGGCCCCCCTGTGAGTATCGCATGACAGTTCCAATCTGTCACACTTCTGTATTATTAAATGGTCCCCGAAGTCTAATCATTGTGGATTCTCCATCCCCCCCGTCTCTCCCACTTTTCTCCCCAATGCAGGGTGCTGATGGCCAGCCTGGTGCTAAAGGCGAGCAAGGTGGATCTGGCCAGAAAGGAGATGCTGGATCCCCTGGTCCACAAGGGCCATCTGGTGCTCCCGGTCCACAGGTCAGTGAAACCACTTCCTGAATTGAAAGTGTGTGCACTCACTCACACAAACACACACACACACACAGAATTTGTAAAGCAGGGATTTTCCAGTTGCTAACCCAAAAGTGCACACAGGTTTAACACATTGTCCATGAAGTCCCATGAAGAGGGATGTGGTGGCTCAGTGGCTAAGACGCTGAGCTTGTCAATCAGAAATTTTGGCAGTTCGAATCCCTAGTGCCGCGTAACAGGGTGAGCTCCTGTTACTTGTCCCAGCTTCTGCCAACCTAGCAGTTCGAAAGCACGTAAAAAATGCAAGTAGAAAAAAGGGACCACCTTTGGTGGGAAGGTAACAGTGTTCTGTGCGCCTTTGGCATTTAGTCATGCCGGCCACATGACCACGGAGACGTCTTTGGACAGCACTGGCTCTTTGGCTTTGAAACAGAGATAAGCACTGCCCCCTAGAGTCGGGAACGACTAGCACATATATGCGAGGGAACCTTTACCTTTACCATGAAGTTAGTACTATATCCAACAGCACCACAGGCATAGCTTCTGAATGCTGGGAGATCTCTCAGAGGGGGTGGAAGAACTGGGGTAGTTGCTGCTGAACAAAATGATGATACATAGACTAGTGATGAAAGGTGCATGAAAAACATCCCGATTTCCTGTTGTCATTTTGCTTTTTAACAGGGTCCAACTGGTGTAACAGGTCCAAAAGGAGCTCGTGGTGCACAAGGACCCCCAGTGAGTATTTGGTGAATCAATTGCTTTTTTTTCCCCATGCAGCCCAAAAGCATAGCGTTAATGTTCATTGTTCACAGCTTTCCTTTATGGCATCCCTACTACTAGTGTGAATGAGATGTGCTGTGACACCGTTCTTTAAAATGATGTGCGTAACGATAAGGGGAATTATCTGCTATGTAGATGAACAGTGCGTATTGGAGAATTCAAGTCAATAGTTATTCCGCTTGACTTTGTAGCTGGTATCTGAAGAATAACACCCTTTCCACTTTTATTCTAACCTATGTCAAAACAGATGTCCGGAGATGAATGAAAATGCGGCTTCAAGACAAAAAAGGATTCCACATCCTATTGTTGACTCTTTATCTTATTGTGTACAAAAATAATGGTAGCACAAAAAGATGCTTTACCAATGGCATGTCACAGTTGCCCGCTAGATGGCAGTACTGCTCAATCTGAACTGATCTAAAAAAAAAAATCTAAGCAGTGTTAGACTTGATTAAATATTTAGGACAGGGGTCAGCAACCTGCGGCTCTGGAGCCACATGTGGCTCTTCCACCCCTCTGCTGCCGCTCTGTCACTCAAAATATGCGTCACAACTGCCAATGTGCAGGACCTGATGACAAACAATTTACTGAGCTTTTCAACCCCCGGTAGGCCAACCATGGATAAATCCAAAAAAAGAAAAGTTTCAAAAGAAAACAGAATGTTTAATTCAACTACATATGCTAGTTTTGTGGCCACTCAAGAAATAGTCAGGCACGGGGAGGGTTTTGTGGCTCCCAGTGCTTTTTTTTCTGTGAGAAATGGGTCCAAATGGCTCTTTGAGTGTTTAAGGTTGCAGACCCCTGATTTAGGAGGAGGCTGTGGGCCTGTTAAAAACCATCCCAAAAAAAGATAATCACAAAAAAACTGGATTGTGATTTAAAAATAACACCCTACCTTAATATACCCTCAAATGAGAGGTTTATCTTTAATCCTGCCTTTGGATTTTAGGTTACTGCAAGTTAATGTAAATCAGCCACCCCACTCCCAATCTTTGTATTCCCAGCATGTTGACTCATAAATTCCATCATAGTTTTGATGGCTGGAATGGGAATAATCTTTTTCCTTCCCCTGGAGAGAGTTGTATTGGGGAAGGCTTCTTTTGGTGGCATTATGCTCAGCATTTCATAGTGCATGTCTTACAGGACATGTCTTCGTTATGTTTTTCTTAAGAGAATAAAGTCACTGTCCTTGCTGGTCTCCAGGCTGACCTTAGAAGATGCAAATGAGTCAAATCAATAGGAGATGCTTTTATTAATCACTCTTTCTCGGGAAGCGGCAAATTATACCTTTACCTTGTAGAAAAGAGAAGATTGCAACTCAGTCTATACCCATCTGTGAACTAATTGTCTTGCCAGATGCTTTTAGCGAATGTGGATGTTCTGATGGGCTGCAAATTAGAGCAAAAAAATATTTCAGTTTAATACCCTTGTACAGTACAGTGCCCACAAAACCTTATATTGCCTAAGGTTCTCTGCCTCATCTGACTTTCTAATGTTTTTTTTTTTAAATTAAACATGAAGTGAAATGGGAAGCAGTCATGCTGCAAAGCAAACTATCCGCATAATATTTATTTCGAAGAGTATTTGGAAATATACATCCCCATTAGCATTTTTAGGAAATAAAAATGCCTGGTAGCAAAAGGCTAGTGCTTCTTTGAAAGTATGCCCACCTCCCATTCCTTCAGGACAAAGAAGACCATGTACCATGTCCCTCCAGGAGAAACATAAAGGATAGATACGGATAGCTTCCCTTCTCCTTAAAACTTATTTTGTAACTAGTCCCACCTAGCAGGGCAATCTTTGTGTGAGACCACCTATGACCTACCCAGGGTGTCCAGCAAGTAAAAAAAAAAAATCTACCTGCTTCTGAATTTAAAAAATATTGGTTGGGGATTTGGGATTAGTTTTCCTAAATCTACTAGGAAATGTGTTTAGTAGACTTAGTCTGTTAATGGAATTAACACAAACAAGCAATCTGCCACTTATATCTCCTGAAAGTGCTAGTCCGCTTCATCCAAATTTGGAAGGAAGCACATCCCTTCTTCCTTATTGTAAATGCCAGCAGGGCCATATAGGTCTTCCTTAGAATATCTGCCCCAGGGGTGAAATGCTCCCGGTTTGGACCAGATCGACTGATCTGGTAGCGATGGCACTGGGTGGTTTGAAGAACCGGTAGCAAAAATCCCTGCGCCACTCCCCCACCCCCCCCATGCCCAGCTGAGCGGTGCGATCATCAGAGGCTATTTTTTTTTATTCTAAAAGCATTTTTTCTACAACCTCTTCCGCTGAAAAAATGCTTTTAAAAGTAAAAAAAAAAAGCCTCTGATGATCGTGCGGCTCAGCTGGGATTGTAAGAGGCTTTTAAAAGCATTTTTTCTGCAACCTCTTCGGCCGAAGAGGTTGTGGGGGGGGGAAATGCTTTTAAAAGCTTCTGGCGATCCCAGCTGAGTTGCCTGATCGTCAGAGGCTTTTAAAAGCATTTATTTACAACCTCTTTGGCAGAAGAAGTTGTAGAAAAAATGTTTTTAAAAGTAAAAAAAAGAGTTGGCCATGCCCACCCAGTCACATTACCCCCCCCCACCAAGCCACGCCCACAGAACCGGTAGTAACAAATATTACATTTCACCACTGATCTGCCCTCTGTCTGATCTTCAGAATCCAAAAGGATTTTTTTCCTTTTAAAAAGAAAAAAAAATGAATGTATTGCATGTCCTTATATATGAATGTCTTGCATCCTGCAGTTCCTCCAAGGACTTAAGATAACCTTTTTTGGGATGACCCCTCATTTTGTCCTCATAACAGCAACCATGTGGGATTGGTTAGACTGAGGTAATACGATTGGCTCAGAGTCACCCAGTGAACTCCGTGACTGTATGGAGATCTTCCCATCTCTATCCCAACAGGATACGCTTTCCACCAAATTTCTGAGGCATATTACTGAAATTAAACCTTATTTCTCGAGAAATAGGCAGAAAATCAAGAGGAAGGTTCTTCACCACTGGTTTGTCAGTGTGTTAAATGCTGCTGTTGAGGTGTTCAGCTTATGATATCTTATTTCTTTTCTAGGGCGCCACCGGATTCCCTGGTGCAGCAGGACGGGTTGGACCACCTGGTCCCAATGTGAGTTCTTCGTTGTCTGCCATTGTTTTGTTGTTGTTTTTTTTTTCATTTTAATATCAGCAGTGTAGGAAGAAGAATGATATGTATATATATATAAAAGCACAAGCTCTCTTTCCCAGCTTCAACCATTTTACGGTACTGAAATGATGGTTCAAAGTTTCGAAGGTTCCAACAGGAAACAAAATAAAACATAATTTAACTTGCTTTAACAGAGGAACGCAGTGGCTCAGTGGCTAAGACACTGAGCTTGTCGATCAAAAGGTCGGCAGTTCAGCGGTTCGAATCCCTAGTGCCGCGTAATGGGGTGAGCTCCCATTACTTGTCCCAGCTTCTGCCAACTTAACAGTTCAAAAGCACATAAAAAATGCAAGTAGAAAAATAGGGACCACCTTTGGTGGCAAGGCAACAGCATTCTGTGCGCCTTTGGCATTTAGTCATGCCAGCCACATGACCACGGAGACGTCTTCAGACAGCGCTGGCTCTTCGGCTTTGAAATGGAGATGAGCACCACCCCCTAGAGTCGGGAACGACTAGCACATATGTGCAAGGGGAACCTTTACCTTTACCTTAACCTGCTTATGAGGATAAAATTAGAATCCCATTTTTTTAAAAAGCTTGCCATGTTGCATAGGGTGGTTCAGATTAATACAATAAAACAAAATATTGAAGGAGGAGAAATTACATATTCATATATTTAAATGTATTGGTTGCAAAGTTCCAATTGACTTTGATGAGTTTCTTCTTCGCTGGCTTTTCTTCAGAGAAAAAAAACATTGTAGGCTTTATATCAGTAGAGGGAGCTGTAGCACTGAAAAAGAGTGCCAAATGCCATTGTCTGTCCTGATTCCTGTGACAAAAGATGTGTCTGCTAGTTGTGATCTCTCAGACTTTACAGTGATCTGAGTTCTGGTTGCATGGCAACAATGAAAGCTGTAGAAAACAATTCAGAAACAATTTCCACTGACTTTTAGATGAGCCAATCATAGAGAAGAAAAATGAATCCCTCTTAATGACGGAAGTAACACTTGCTGAATTAGCAGAATGGAAGAAGTATGCAAGGTCATGTTATAAAAGAGAAATTGTAGACTTGATAGCTTTTGTGATTCTGGCCATGCCTATGAGCTTCCAGCAAGAAAATGGCATTTCCAGGAATCCATCCTTATTTCTAGGTTCTGATGGGTTTTAGACAAATAGAAAAATACTATGCAATTTTAAGAGAGTATTGTTCCTTCCTTCCTTTTGAAAAATCCCAACTCTCATTATAAGCTACTTCAAACTATAATGTCCCATAAACAAACAGCTGCTCATTCTTTTCTACGCAAGATAGACGTGTTTTCTCTGAAAGGCATTCGTTTTGATATAAGAGATCAGGGTGGTTGCTTGATTCCTCAAACCACTCCAAGTCATGTACATTTCTTTTTACTAAGATGGTTTATGATTTAGAATTAGAATGAATGAGCTAGAAGGGATCTTGGGGGTCTTCTAGTCCAGCCCCCTGCTCAAGCAGGAGAACCTATACTATTTCAGATAAGTGGCTGTCTAGATTCTTCTTAAAAACATCCAGTGATGGAGCGCCCACAATTTCTGGAGGCAAGCTTGCCACTGGTTAATTGTCCTCAGTATTAAGCAGTTTCTCCTTAATTTCAGATTGCTTCTCTCCTTGATTAGTTTTCATCCATTGTTTCTTGCCTTGCCTTCTGGTGCTTTGGAAAATAAATTAACCTCTTCTTTGTGGCAGCCCCTTCAAAGCAGAATAATGCTTTCGTGTCACCCATAGTCCTTATTTTCTCTAGACTAGCCAAACCTAAATTCTGCAGCTGTTCTTCATATGCTATAGTCTCCAGGCCTTTGATCATCTTTGTTGCTCTTCTCTGAACTTTTTCCAAAGTCTCAATATCTTTTTTGTAGTATGGTGACCAAAATTGGTCACAGTATTCCTGGTATGGTCTTACTAGGGCTTTATAAAGTGATACTAATACTTCAGGCGATCTTGATTCTATGCCTCTGTTTATACAACCTAGGATTGTATTTGCTTTTTATCTTTCTAGGGTAACCCTGGTTCCCCAGGCCCACCTGGTGCTTCTGGAAAAGACGGTCCCAAGGGTGCCCGTGGTGACGCAGGGCCAGTTGGACGTACTGGTGATCCAGGTTTGCAAGGCCCGCCTGGTCCTGGAGGCGAGAAGGGAGAATCTGGAGAAGATGGCCCTCCTGTATGTATTCAGCTGGTGGTCCTGTGTAAGTTACTGACTCGGGCCGTTGTTATTTCTAATGCAAATTCATTCCCTTCCATCTTTCTTTCCTTTTGCCAGGGTGCAGATGGCCCTCCTGGACCTCAGGGTTTGGCAGGACAGAGAGGAATAGTTGGTCTTCCCGGTCAGCGAGGTGAAAGAGGCTTTCCTGGTCTGCCTGGGCCTTCTGTAAGTACCTTGAGGGCTAACAACCTTGAAAAATATACATTGAGAAGTGTACAATGTATGCTCAGTTCGAGGACAGTTCATTTCCCAGCTTCTGAATTTGGGAGATATCCAAGGTTTTTGTTACTTTTTTTAAATACAAAATCGATATTAGGTTATTATGTTTTGAGCGTTAAGCTAAAGTGGCTGTGGTGATTCATGTGGTTGGATGCTGAGTCAGCCATTGAGAGATCAGCAGCTCAGCAGTTCGAAACCCGAGAGCAAGCCGCATGACGGAATAAGTTCCCGTTACTTTGCCCATCCAACAGTTCAAAAGCATGCAATGCAAGTAGATAAACAGGTACCACTTCGGTGGGAACATATTGGGTACTCGAAAGGAGCCCGCTCAGCCATCCCCGGGTAACGATGATGTCATTGGCTATAACCCTTTCAATCCAGAAGCGTCTTGGTAGTGCTTCCAACATGAATGTAATGATACTATTAAGCTGCTACTTATCAAGTATTCTGTTGATTTTTCATAGTCTGGCTTGTTATCCCTTCAACATGGCACCACAGCATCTGTGAGAACTATATGAATTGCATTCTCTGCATTCGGCCTCTTACGAATAAAGCATTTTAAAATGTTGAATAAGGAAAAGAAGAAATTTTATGAATGAGAAATTATACAAATTTAATAAATCTATCTTCTGACTTTCTTACTTTACCGAATATGAAAACAAAACCCATGTTTTGTCATGTCTGGACATCAAAGATACCAGAGTGAACTCTTCTAACCCAAACACTGTGTAGAAAAAGAAAAAAAAATACTGGCTATGTGAGGGAATGATTTGTTGCCTGAAATAAATGGTGAGGAAATAGTATTTTATTGGGATATTAGAGATAGCTCAATTAAAAAGCATTATCAGTCGCTCACACAATTCTGCCAGTATTTTTCTGGGAATTTTCAGTTCATCCAAGTTTTAAAATTCATAAACCGACCTTGCACTAAATAGGTTTCTCATCATCATGATTATGGAGTAAAACTGGGCAAACAATTTTTAGCTCAACTACTTAATTTTGAGGAAAAATAGGCATAGGATTTTCACTTTACCTTGTCCAGTTTACTGTCAAAAATAGTCTTCTGCTTGCTTAAATTGGTTTTCTTCCCCCAGGGTGAGCCTGGTAAACAAGGATCTCCTGGAGGTCCAGGAGATAGAGGCCCACCTGGCCCAGTTGGTCCACCCGGTTTGACTGGTCCCTCTGGTGAACCTGGCCGTGAGGTGAGTCTAATTAACCTAGGCATTTTTCTCATCTGGAATACAAAAAATGCATTTCTGGTTTCTCATACTGAATTTGTGATGGACGCTTCCTCTCAAGAGAATGTATATTTAAATAAATATCTATCCTGCCCCATTATGCTGAGTTATTTCATGACTAGGCATGATGGCAGCCCATAATGTGACCACAGCACGACACTAAATCCAATATTTCAGAATTCTGTTTCAAGGAGTATCTGATAGAGTCATCCCCAAGTTCATGATGAGTATATGTCCGGTTTCCAAACATATTTATTCCTTGAGTCTTGGCTTTTATAGAAAATTCCTCTTGGTGAATGGGATTAATGCAGAATCAAACATTAATCAAAAGCCTACGGCTCCCCTCTGAAAGAGGGCAGATGCCTTCCCCCCATATTAGCAACCATAGAGAACAAGGGAGCTCATGGCAAAATAGTACAGAGGTTGGCATGATCTGACAGCTGGATTTGGGGAGGGCTTAGCTCATACCCTCTCTTGTTCATATGGTCCACCCAGACACTAATTTAAAGCCATTGCTCTTATTGCCACATATTTATTTATTTTTTTAAATATATATTACAATCCACAATCTCCTCAATGGAAACATTTTTGTTTTCTGATCGAATAGTTTTAGAAATGGTATAAGGCATTGACGAAGCAGATGCTCAGACTAATAGACAGGACTTTTCAATGTATTCATTCGTCCATCACAATAAAGTGGATAAATAAGATGACAAAGGTGATAGAAGCTGCAGTTACGAATAGAGCTCATACAAAAATTTAAAAAGGGTGAATTTGGAAAGCGGGTTGCAGAAAGCTAGAAGATGGTGAGGGTTTGGGTTCAGTAGCAAATGGGAAATAGTTCTGGTTCTGTGCCGTGTTTGCTATTGCTGGTTAGCTTAGGCTAAAGCTTGGTAACTACAGCATGCAGCCCCGAGGAGCCTTTTAATAGTATAACAACTGTATTTCAGATGAGAATTTACCAAACCAGAGTTTGCTCTAGTTTGACCTCCAAGAGATAGACCTTCTGTTAAGATGAGTAGGTGGTATGGGACAATTCAAGGATCAGGTCATCCCAGAACATACGTAGTTTTGTATTAGTAGAAGCTGCTGCTACCAACTCCTAATTAATTGCCAGACCCCTGCTGCACAAGCACTTTCCTGCCTTTCTCAGAAATAACTACCCCCTTCTTGTTCTCAGGGTAATCCTGGTTCAGATGGTCCTCCAGGCAGAGATGGTTCCCCGGGACCGAAGGTAAGTGTATTGAAGGAATTGATTAGCTCTAGGTATCTATTTTAACTCGCCCCTTTTATTTGGTTAGTGTTTCATCATTGCTTTTGACTAGGAAGTTGTAAGAGAGAGTAATTTACTCATACAATCTCAGACAGGATGCCCGCCCCTTATATGGCTTTCTTTCTCCATTCATATTCTCAGCCGCCATCTTCTGACTCTTAAATGTCCCATTTTGTCCCCTAGGGCAGCATAGATTTCATGATAGAGTGCAGTATTAGACAACCTAAACTGTTTCCCCCTGTTAGAATGGAGTGTATAGTAGAAAAGTAGGCAGAACTGAGGGGCGGAGTTAAGCATGTCATCAGCTTAGAATCATTACATTCCCACAAACAGTTCAAGTCCAACCCTTCTTAAATTTTGTTGACCCTTGCCTGGCGGCAATTTAATATTGAACTTTAGTTACGGTAATTAAATTCTTGTATATAGGCTTCAGCAATAAATTTTCTGAACTGCAAATTAACATATGGTCTTGATCCTTTGTGCTTGACAGGGAGGGCAGCATGGATAGAATAGGTGATGGTTTTAATGTGACATTTTTGCTTTTACGGTAATCCATATAAACTATCCAAAATCATTTATGAGTAGTTGGCCTTGGACAATCAAATAGTAAATGTGAATAAATAACATAAAGGGGGAACTTCTGCAAGGAATTTCTGGATAATTGTGTCCATGTCACACTGGGATGGGTTCCAAACAACCATAGCTGGCTAGTCTTCCCAAATGTTTCCCAAATGTCTTCTTCTAGCATTGACTATGGTATGCTGTGTCGCCTAATAGCATAGTCCTGAATTGGGGCTAATGATGATGATGATGATGTTGATGATGGTGGTGGTGGTACTTCATGTTTAATTAATAAAAGAATAATAATAATAATATGTGTTACAAATGAAAAGGCAGTTTCTACTGGGTAGTTGTCTCTTACTCCATCCTTCATGTATGTGGCATTAAATATTTGAACTGTGTGTCTTTCCTCTCTCTCTCCAAACAGGGTGAACGTGGTGAGACCGGAGCTGTTGGAAGTCATGGTGCTCCTGGCTCACCTGGTGCTCCAGGTCCTGTTGGTCCAACTGGCAAACAAGGAGACAGAGGTGAAACAGTTAAGTGTTTAGTAACAAGGAAGACGCTAGAATGAAACCAACTCTTCAAATCCATTCTGAGAACTACAGTCTTCGATCTTCTCATGGACAGAAGACTAGGTCAACATCTCATTGTTTTGTTTTGTTTTTCCAGGGTCCTCAAGGTCCCATTGGCCCTACTGGCCTTGCAGGAGCAAGGGGCTTACCTGTGAGTACTTTTTCCTTTTGTCCGGCTCCATCTTCTTGTCCTGACTTCCTGTAAACATTGTAGAATTCCCCCAGAGCCAAAAGCAATCAAGTCAAATTGCAGCTATACCATTGCTATAATCTATAGCCAGGAGAATTCATTTTCAATTTGTGCGATTAGCACAATGACTCAGTGCCGCGGGGAGCACTTCATGTTTTGCAAAGTCAATGGGTAAAGTAGGTCTGGCTCTTAAAAATGTGAATAAAATAAAATAAAATTACAGGAACGGAGGTCAAGTGCAGCACAGATGTTTACACATGTATGTTTATGTGATACTTGAATAGATGCCTCTTGGGTATAATAACCGCATGTTCCTTGCACATTTCTCTGAGATGGGGTGGTCTTTCCTTGCCTCTGCTTTCTGAATGCAATGACAGTAATCCTAACAATCATTTAAAGATGTCTCAGAGCCCTTAAGTGGATTCCTTCTTCTCCCAGAGAAAATTGAGAAGCAACACAGGATCTCCCAAAAACAGAGCTGTATCTCAAATGTTCATTTTCTTGAAATGATATGTCTTACAAATGAATAAGTTATTTCTAAAATTGAAATAACATTTTACCAGCTAGCCATAAAACACATTAAAGATCTACTAATTATTTCACCCAGAAGAGCGAGTCAATGGACATCTTTCTCATTTATCATTTGAGATCATCATGAGTGAATGCTGGACAGCATTCTAGCACTTTCAGCCTGTGGCTAGAATGCACTAAAAAAAAGTTGAGAGCATTGCCATATTTAGTCTAATCATAGAATTTTTGCCAGGGTGTATATGGCCAAATGGAACAGTAGTTCCTTGCCATCTTTTTTAGCTCCCGAGATACTTTCTACTTGTTCACTATCACCACCCCAGTTTTCCTTTATTTTTGTTTATTTGTTCCTCAGAAAGTGAGTACAATTTCAAACAAATAACTACAGCCATCATTTTCCCTTAAGTATGTTCACAGGGTTCTCTTTTGGCCCCAGAGGCATTTTTTATAGATAAAAATAATGCTGGAGGCTTTTTTTTTTTTGTTTACATTGTGACCTACTAGTTTCCATTTTTATTTATTTATACACAGGAGCATTTAACTGCTTGCTTCTGCTATAAGCATTTACCGCTAAAGAAAGACCGAACCACGATAGTCTTCTAGTTAAGTTGTACATATATCAAAGTAATCTGTCTGTTTCTGCCCAAAAGGTCCAGATCTAATATTCATAGAAATTAATACTAGATTCAGTGGTATAAATACTCAAATTAAGCACCCTCAAATTAAGCTCAAAGTAACCAACTTTTTTCTGGTTTAATTACTATAGTTAGCATTGTATCAAGAGAGATGATTGGAATCTTAGGGCCAGGGTTGATGTCATAACATCCTTTGTGAGGAACACAGGAGCTTTGTGACATCAGAATGTAACAACCAGAACTATGAAACCCATTTGCCAATCTTGAGGTAGAGCTGCTGTCAAAATGAAAGTTAATTATTCTCCTTTTCTGCTGGGCGAATATATAAAGCATTGTGGAGTAACACCACCACCGTCTCCTGTATTCTGTAGCAAGCAAGCTTACCTGTGATCCTATAGTCCTCCTGAAGGTAGCTTGTGTTTTACGCTTCTAGGGTACACAAGGTCCTCGTGGCGACAAAGGTGAAGCTGGAGAGGCAGGAGAACGAGGTCTGAAGGGTCACCGAGGATTCACCGGCCTGCAGGGTCTCCCTGGGCCTCCTGTAAGTTTTGATTTCAGCACATGCTGGATAGGATTCAGCCCTAGAGGGTCCGTTCTAGGCTTGCCACAGATTGGGAATTGTCATCTGGGTATGGTATGGCCAGTCTAGAGAAAAGAAGGACTAGGGGTGACATGATAGCAGTGATGATTCCAGTATTTGAGGGGCTGCCACAGAGAAGAGGGGGGGTCAACTTATTTTCCAAAGCACCAGAGGGCAGGACAAAAAAACAATGGATGGAAACTGATCAAGCAACCTGGAATTAAGGAGAAATTTCCTAACAGTGAGAGCAATTAACCAGAGGAACAGCTTCCCTTTAGAAGTTGTAGGTGCTTCATCACTGGAGGTGTTTAAGAAAAAACTGGACAGCGGACTTCCGGTTTCCTTGTCTTCGGCGACGGCGGCGCTCTTTGAAGCTCCGCCAGCCCCGCCGCCTGTAGAGCCGCTTCGCGATCGAGAAGCGGCTCGAAAACTTCAAAATCCTGAGGATTGTTGGAGGAGAGATCGCAGGGCACAGGTCGAGCCCCTGTAACCCCCCAGGGAATCGTTTCTGGGGAGGAAACAGGCGCGGCTCCCTTCCAACCTGCTGAGACTCCGGGCGGCGTGGGACGATTCTGCTTCTGCAGAACAAGCCGGCTGCAGGAAACTTAAAGCGCAAGAACCAGTTTTAATAAACAGCGAAACTACCTGAATCCTGAAATTTGGAAACGCAAGTATTAGCACTTTGTTGACTTTTCAATCTGAGAAAATGCGAATGAGTGAAAGTGCTTTGAAAAAACATGGCGCCTAGCTTCAGAGTTAACGAGCCAGCGAGTGTGGATTGGTGAAGTTACTTCGTTTTGCTACAAAGTTTCCAAGTTGCTACTAAGCTGCTTTGCTTGTTATAAGAGAAATAACTGGGAAATTTTTTCCCTTTTCAATATTGGACTTTGCTTTATTTTAACTCTTGTTTGATTAAATCTGGGGGACTTTTTTAGAAGTCTTTGTGCAGGAGGGAAAGGAAAAGGAACTTCCCTCTTTAGAAAAACTAGATCACGAGCCAGGATGGCTTCAAAGAAGCAGGAAGGGAAGGCATTAGGGGGGGGATCCCCCACACACAAACATCAAACGCAACTTCCCCCTGCTCAACAGCTACAAACTCAGAAAAAAGAATTTGATGTGGGAGATTTAAAAGAATTTATTTCTAAAACTCTGGATGACAAATTTCAAAAATGTCAACAGGAGATAGATGATAAACTTCAAAAATCACATCAGGAATTTATGCAGGAAATTAATGAAGTTAAAGACATGGTGAAACAGAATCAAAATAAGGTGACCAAAAAAATATCAGAAGTGGCGTCTGGCCTGGCAGAATTTATTGGGAAAGTTGATTTTAAAGTTGAAGAATTCAAATCAGAAGTTAATGTTAAGATGAAAGACAATGATTATAAAATTGATGAAGTTGACAATAAAATGCAGAGAATTGAAGATGAGATTGTTATGATACAATTCCGGGCGATGGAATTTGCCATACGGCTTCGGGGAATTCGAGAGGAGGAGAGACAGGATTTGAGACAGGTTTGCTCTGAAGCCTTGGCTAAGATTTTACAAGCTAATCCTGATTTGGTATTTCATAAAATAGATAAAATTTACAGAGTGAACTCTTGGGTGGCCAGACAAAGACAATTGCCTAGAGATGTGGTCATATACTTTACTGAGAGAGAAATTAGAAATGATATCCTGCAAAAATCTTTTCACACTTCTGTACAAGTGGGGGGCTCACGACTTGAAATTTTTAAAGAATTACCTCCTAAAATGCTGAAAGCTAGAAAAGAATTTGGTTTTCTTGTTAAGGAATTGAGAAATTTACAGATACCCTTCCGGTGGGACGCACCAGCTGGGATAATTTTTAGATATAAGGGAGAAGGATATCGGTTGAATACCGTGGAGAAGGCACAACACTTTTACAGTACTATTCTTAAGGAAAGAACACCATCTCCACGTACATCTACAGTTTTGGAGATTAAGGAGAGTGAAGAGAGGCAATTGAAAGAACAGTCTAAGCAGGAATTAGAAAACGTGCAAGGTGCAGAAGGAGGTTTTCTGAGTGAGCCCTTGTTGGATTCTTCTCCAATTTTGGATTTGATTCAGTTGACAGAAGTTAAAGATCAACGTATAACTAGAGCCCAATCCAAGCTACTTAAACAAAAGCAACAACAACAACAGGAAAGACAAGACAAGAAGGCAGTTAAGAGTACCGGACAAGAGAGTGGAGCTATGGGAGGAGCGAGATCGAAGCTCTCGGATGAACTTCAAATATTTTGCTCTGTGCTCCAGAAAGAGGCTGATGACCTTTAAGTGTCTATCTTGGAATGTCAATGGGTTGAATTCAGCACAGAAAAGGAAGAAATTATTTACATATTTGAAACAATTTAATAATGATATAATATGTTTACAAGAAACGCATATCACAACTCAAGATCAAAAATATTTGATAAACTCAAAACTAGGAGCACATTATATATCCTCAACTTCGCAGAAAAAGAATGGTGTGGTTATTTATGTAAATAAAAAATTAACAGCGAAAGTTATAGAAGCAGATCAAGATGGTAGGTTTGTAGCAATTGAATTGCTCACAGCAAATGGTCAAATTCTTTTGATTGGAATTTATGCTCCCAACCAACAACAGGATTATTTTTATAAGATGTTACATACTAAAATATTGCAATGGGACTATAGATCTATTTTAATTATGGGAGACTGGAATGGAGTAATTGATTCTAAACTAGATAAAAAGAGCTTGGCAAAGTCTAGAATTAGACTACCACAGACTTTTTTTGATATGAAAGAAGATATGGAATTAAAAGATGTTTGGAGAATATATAATCCAAATGAATTGGACTACACTTTTTTTTCGGATAGACATAGATCTTTTTCTAGGATTGATTTTATCCTGTTGTCAAATGATCTACTTGTTAAGACAAAAAGAACAAAGATTTGTCCAAGAACTCTGACTGACCATAGCCCTGTATGGATAGAAATTGAGATGGATAAGGTTGAGAGACGTTCTTGGAGATTAAATGAGAACTTGTTTAGATATGAAAAAAATACAATAGAACTTAAAAAGCATTTGAAAGAATTTTTTGAAATAAATTTGAATAAAGGTACCCCAATTGAAATTGTTTGGGATGCAAGTAAAGCTTATATGAGAGGGGTACTCATCTACATGAATTCTAAACATAGACTGTTCCGACAAAAGAAAAGATTTGAGTTGGAAATGGAAATAAAGAATAAAGAACAGTTACTTATTAAAAACCCAACAGATGAAAGAATACGAAGTGCTATAAAACTTTTGAAAGACCAATTTCAAATGCTTATGGCGGAACAAGTTGCAACAAGTTTACAATATGCGAAGCATAATACATTTTGCAACGCTAACAAACCGGGCAGATGGTTGGCTTACATATTGAGGAAAAAACAAAGTATACGGACTATTGATAGTATTGATATTGGAGGGAAAGAAATCTTTCAACAAAAACTAATTAAAGAAGCTTTTGTGGATTATTATACTAAACTATATGCCAAAGAAGAGGTGCAGAATGGACTTATAGAAAAATATTTAAAGGATAAGAGAGTTACAAAAATTACTGATCAACAAAAGGAAAGAATGAATTATCCTATAACAGAGGAGGAGATAACAGCAGCAATTAAACAGCTAAAAACAGCCAAAGCTCCTGGCACGGATGGTTTGACTGCAGTGTATTACAAAACTTTATAAGCTGAAATGGTGGGACAACTTAGAGACTTATTTTGCAATATTCAACAAGGGGGCAAAATACCCCCATCTTGGACAACTGCTTATATATCTTTGATACCAAAAGAACAAGTTGGTCCTAAAAAACCAGAGAATTATAGACCAATATCTCTTTTGAACACAGACTATAAAATTTATGCGAAGGTATTAGCCAACAGGTTGATGCCAGTAATCCAAAAGGTGATTCATGCGGACCAAGCGGGATTTATTGAGGGCAGATATATGAAGGACAATGTAAGGCAAGTAATAGACTTATTGGAATATCTTGACAAGAATAAACAGATTTCTGCAGTGCTGGTTTTTTTGGATGCGGAGAAGGCCTTTGATAGAGTGGATTGGAATTTTCTACTAAAGACTTTAAAAAAGATGGGCTTTGGGGACCAATTTATACAGGCGATCTCAGCAATTTATCAAGAGCAAAAAGCACAGATTATTATTAATGGAAGTTTGACGACAGAGTTTAAAATTGAAAAAGGAACAAGACAGGGATGTCCGTTGTCCCCACTTTTATTTATTTTAACATTGGAAGTCTTGCTAAATACAATACGGGACTCAAAAATTTTGAAAGGCATAATGATAAGGCAAGAGGATTATAGAATAAAGGCATTTGCAGATGATCTGGTGGTTACCCTATCACAACCAATGGAATCAACAATCCTGATGAACGACATTATACAAGACTATGGTAGAGTTTCAGGTTTTAGAGTGAATTCAAAAAAGACTAAAATGATAGTCAAAAATATGACACAAGATCGTAAACATGAGCTTGAAAGGAGGGCAGGTTTTGAAATTGTACCTAAGGTAAAATATCTTGGAGTTCAGGTTGCAGAATCAAATATGAAATTGTTTCAAAATAACTATGAGGTGTTGTGGCGAGAGGTTCAGAAAGACATGGAGACTTGGAAAAAGCTGCAACTGTCTTTACTTGGAAGAATAGCAGCAGTTAAGATGAACATTTTGCCAAGATTTCTGTTTTTGTTTCAAATGATTCCGGTGCTTAAAAGTGATAAACAACTGAAAGTTTGGCAAACTGGACTTAATAAGTTTGTCTGGAACGACAAAAAGCCGAGAGTGAAATTGAAAATTATGCAAGATGTTCCAGAAAGAGGAGGCCTTAAACTTCCAAACCTACAGTTATATTATGATGCAGCAGCTTTAACTTTAACAAGTGATTGGTTTGGAAGTAAAAAGGCTGGAATATTGAATGCAGAAAGTTTTGATCTTGAATTTGGATGGCATGCTTACCTATTTTATGATGACAAAGTTGATAAAGTATTTAAAAGTCATATACTTAGAGACTCTTTGATGAGAGTTTGGAAGAAGCACCGACTCAAATGGGATTATAAAATACCGCTATGGCTGGATCTTGGTCATACATTGTGGAATACAAATATAATGTCACTCGGGGGGTTTTTATACAAAGAGGTTCTTTTTACAGATGCGGGTAGATGGCAGCTGAAGACCTTGCAGACACTGTTGGACGAAGGGATTAATTTAACTTGGTTACAATATAATCAATTACAATTGAGATGGAAAGAGGACCAAAAAACTGGTATTATGTTGCATGAGGAAGAATTGGTTAGACATATAAGAGAGAAAGGTCCAATGCATATTAAAAGGCTTTATAATGTTTTGCTAGAAAGGGATTCAGAAACGGAATTAGTTAAAGATTGTATGATTAAGTGGGCACAAAATTTCGAAGAACCAGTGATGTTGGAAACATGGGAAAAAATTTGGGTTCAGAATGTTAAATTTACACAGTCGCAGAATCTGAGGGAAAATTTTTATAAAATGTTTTATAGATGGCATTTAGATCCTAAAAAGCTGTCATGTATGTACCCTAATGTTCAGCCAAAATGTTGGAGATGCGAATGTTTGGATGCTACGTATTATCATGTTTGGTGGACCTGTAGGAAAGTTAAGGCTTTTTGGATAAAAATATGGTGGGTCATGCAGAATGTTTTGAAGAAAAAAGTTCAATTTTCTCCACAATTGTTTTTATTGGGTATAGTTAAGGGTTTTACACGGGGTGAAATAAAACTAATATTGTATATGATAACAGCAGCAAGATTGTTGATAGGTAAATATTGGAAGAATGAAGCTTTGCCTACTATCGAGGAATGGACTTTGAAGATGGCCAGTTTTGCAGAGATGGCGAAGATTTCAGCATATTTAAAAGATTGTTCACAAGAGACTTATGAATGGGAATGGAAAAGGTGGATAGAATATGTTCAGAACAAATACCAAACTAGAAAGTACCAAATAGCTTTTATTTGAAAACAATGTATTAGAAATATCTTAATGTAAAGAGATAAAGAGGGAAAATAATATAGGGGGAGGGATGGGTTCAGGTATATATATCAGTATTATTAGTTATGAGTACATAATAGGGAAGTCTGGGGGGGAGGGTTAGGGAGGGTTAGGGAGGATGGGAAGTTTGGGGAGGGAGGTGGGGGGGTGAAAAAAGGGGTGAAAATGTAATTGTAAAACTTTTGCAATAAAAAAAAAAGAAAAAAGAAAAAACTGGACAGCCACCTGTCTGATATGGTAGAGGGTCTTCTGCTTGAGCAGGAAGTTGGGCTAGAAGACCTCCAAGGTTCCTTCCAGCTCTATTCTGATTGATGATCTGTTCCTCTGTTGTAACAAGGATAAGAATCAGTTCATACGAATCAATGCTGTATGCATTCCTCTCTACAAAGATTTCATAAATACAGTAACTCTTAGTAAGACTTATGAACTGAAATTCTGTATAGTAAATAACCCGTTAAGGCTTGGGAATTTAAATTCTCTCCCAGAGGATCTTTGAAAACTGATCGAAGAATCTTCAGTCCAGGATATAGTTATTATTTGACAATTCTGTCCCCTACTAATGGCCTCCTCCAAAAGATACAGTTGCATATATACTATAGGATGAGTTTGTACTTTGTAATAAATTTCTCCTTCAACATGAAGGTGCACAGAGGATCACTGGCATGTTAGTCTATGCACAAAGGTCAACGAATCAAAGATGACAAGGAGGAAGGGTCCGTGTTGTAGAGACCACTTGGGCTCCTCTGTGGAGAAACTATAATGCACAAAATTCATATTTAACTATGCAGCTTTTTTTCCTTTCTTCCTTAGGGTCCTTCTGGAGATCAAGGTACATCTGGTCCTGCTGGTCCCTCTGGTCCCAGGGTAAGTACAATGAACAGAGTACTTCAGAAAAGCTAATTTCCGTGAACGCTTAAGTCACCAGTCG